CGTAACAGCTACGCTGCCCCCAAATCCTTCGGACAGGGATTGCAGGTGGTTCGACCGCGTTGTTTGCCCAAAACGGTTTGAAAGATCACCATATCCCCCCACGTTATATCTACCCTCTAATATTGCTTTGTGTCATCCATGGTGAGGCGATGGAGCTCGTGAGGCAGAAACGTTTGGAGTATACATGTATTTACTTCAGCGACGAGCAGCCTTGCAGATACCCGCGCACCATCACATAAGATGACTATAAATTGCGACAGTGACCTTTTATTTTATTTTTCATTCTATTTGATCACGTAGAGGAGATCTAAGCCTCTGCATTTCATTACCTCAATTAGACCTTTGCAACCACAATTTAGACTGAGCAATGCACCGTGGCTCGAGAAGAAGCATTGGCTGCGGGGCTTGTCGGCGGAACAAGATCAAGGTGAGGGATGGGTTCTGACTGTTTGCGCTCCGCGATAGTATCGCTAACATTGTATTCTGTTGCAGTGCGATGAAGTCCGCCCAACCTGTGGGCGCTGCTTTCGAGTAGATCGCGAGTGCGTGTATCCGCCTCAATTCCAATTTGTCGATACAACGACTCGATTCGCGGTGCCTGAGATGGGAGAACGACCTGCACTTCGGAGAACAGGCGCAGAGGGTTTAAAGGCCAAGCTGAGCCTGCTGTATGGAGAAGGCGATGAAGATGGAATGACTTATAAATTCCAATTGCTTCGTTACAGATCGACAACGCCTGTGTCGTCATCAAGAGACTCCAGCCCTCCCGTACCCAACTCTCCCAGCGTATCACGAGGGGAGAAGCTCGCCTCAGCGTTGATCGCTTCATTCAAAAACCCTCCAGATGGTTATCGGCTACATCATCTTGGCCGATACATGACTGAGATACCGTGTCGCCTTGGTCACAATCCCGCCCTCGATGTTGCAGTAGAGTGTCTCCTGCAGTCTCATACCCAATTACTTGAGGCAAACCAGTCTTCTCACCGCAGTACTCAACCTAGCATCGAGTATATGAGGGCTCTCCAAACCCTGCAGAATGTGATTGCAGATCCTGTCTTGGGCACTTCTGCCGAAACGGTTTGTGCCACTATGTTGATGGCCTACTATGAGGTAAAATGGTCAAATTCTCTGTATTGTTTCTAAACCTAATGTCAAAACCTTTTCCTGACTTTGAGCAGATGATTGCCCCAGAAAGGCGTCCCCATCAATACATAGCGCATGCTGGGGGTGCGTCGAAGCTGATATCTGTCCGCGGCCCGCGGTGTGTCCGGACAAATTTCGAGTTTAATCTTTTTCGCACCCAACGAGGTCGAATTGTGAGTGCCATGGCAGTCCTACGCTCTTGGTGATATTGGAGCTTATTTATTCCATTAGGTCCTTGAGGCGTTGCTCCGAGGAGAACACTGCTTCTTACTCACAGGTGGATGGGAAGATATCTGCCCTGAGAAGCGCGACAGCATCAAGTTTTCAAGTGTCGACTACCTTTTTGAGAGTATCTGCAGTATTCCCACACTCGTGAAATATGTTGTAGATTGGAAAGCTGGAGTATCTGAGTTAGGTATGGGCGAGATTATAGAGTATGGGAGGAATCTGCAACTGGAATTGCGAGCCGCTTCCCCTCGGAGCTCAATGGCTGGAAACGTCGAGGATAATCTTGGGTTCGAAGAGCGTCAGTCTTCGACGCTAGATGATGATTTCCCGCTCAGCTTCCATTTCGACTCTTACGAGAGCGCTATATTCCACACGTGGCGGTGGATGGCCTTGATAATTGCAGACCTTTGTCTAGTCAATCTTGTGGCCGATCCCAGATTGCGACTGAGCATTGCTGACACTGCGCGGCGGATTTGCATGTGTTGTGAATATGCAAATTTATCGAACCCACTTGGAGCTCAGTTTCTACAGGTACCGTTAATCATCGCATACGTTGTGAGCGATGAGAAAGGGAAGAATTGGATTATAGACAAGATTAACCTATTGATGGGAGGCCTTTATGTAACATATACTGCGGAGTATTTGGATTGCCTATCGATCATGATAATGAAGGGTATAAAATGAAGATTTAGGTATTGATCCTTCTACTTCTTTGTGTTTCTACTGGCGATCCAGTGTAATGTGCGAATATGCATCTTGTGGCCATTGTGAAAGTGAAAGCCTCAGAAATGTGAAGCAGACAACGAAGCAGGAAGAGATGCAATGCCGCGCCCTCTTTCTCCGGAAAAAATAGAACAAAATAAATCAGACTGAGATTGAAAATCAGAAACCATATAAATAGACTATACGGCGATAAAAAACGATACATCAGAACGGCAGGAACAAATATTTCTACCCTCTCAAATATCGTCATATGGTGGTGCCGCTGATTTGTGTCATTCTCAGTAAAGTCCAAGCCACTCCTTGATCGTCTCCAACTGTACTCGTCTCGCCTAGAAGATTCTGTCAGCTGTAGTACCTCACATCATGTTCGGATGAGCTTACGTGAACAACGCTCGGTTTATCACCTGAAAAGGACGCAATAGACTCCTCGCCATGCGCAGCCTGGCTAGTGATCATCCATCTGGAGGCGTTGCGGTCCGGCGAAGGAGGAAATGGATGGATGCCAACACCAGTCGTAGGATCGTTCTCTGCATATGCAAATATGATACGAGGCGCTTGGATTAGGTCTGCTCGTGAAATGTGCCACTTTGCCTCAACTTCCGCTTGGGTTGGGGGAACAACCTTATATAGTGTCTCGCAGGTCATAGGATCCGATTCCGTTTGAATAGATGTCGGGGGGTAGATATTTCCTTCGAGAATCTCATTACCACTCAAAGGGAAGTATTTGCATAGAAGGTAGTTAAAAGGAGCTTTCTGAAGAGATGCTTCCGAAGATTCGTCTGAATCCCAGGAGATGCAAGGAACTAGACTAGGTGGGTTTCGTAAGGTCAGAGTTGCGTTGACAATGTCGATTGGATTCTTTGCACTAAGCGATATGTTGACCAGTTTTTCAGGAGTAGCACCGAAAGGGTTTGCGTCTGGGCTACTGTAACTGAGCAAGGGAATCAGTTCGGCGTTGGTAGTAATGACTCCCATTACCAACTGAAGATCTGCTGCTGTCTTTGGGACGGTGCAGAGATTTAGATCTTTTGCAATGTCTTGTACCTCGCCCACTTCAAAACATTAGTTGACGTTTAATTCCAATCATTGAGAACAATGACGAGGCTTGCAAGACGTACAGTTTTGGAAACGTTTTGCAAGCAAAGTGAAAGCATCTCTCATTTTGGTAGCCGCCGCTGCAGACAAGTCCCAGTAGACCTGGTTGACCTAAGAGTCACGTCCACTTAGTAAAATGAATCTCATGCGAATGGTTCTAACGGGAACATACCCAATTAAACCAATCGTATCGCCTCGGGTTCTGATAGTTTGCTCCAATCGATCGAAGGGGTGGAGCGTACGGCACGGCTCCAAAGAACACTTCAGGATAATTCATCTTGAGCACCGTAGTCAGGAAACCACCATATGAGCCTCCAGAAACAATAACCTTGCTATCCTTAGCTCCAGGGATAGTATGCTTAATATGATTGACAAAGGTTACGGCATCCAGCATGACATTCTCAAGGATAAGAGACTTGTACTTCTCGATGGGGTCGGTGGCGTTTGATGCATCACTGAGGCCAAAGAAACGGTGCTCGAGGCTAATAACCATGCCATCGACCTCTTGAGCCCATTCTGGATAAATAGTTCTCTCCTATGAAATGTTAGAATTCACATTTGTTCGAGGATTTGTTCCTCTATATACCAAACAGGCAAATTTTGCAGTCTCGGCTTGCTGATAGTAAAATATTGGGCCTCCAGGCTTGAAATGAGGTTTGATTATCTGATACTGTTGCTGAAAGGTTCCATTTGTAGTCGAATTATGGTCCACCAGCTGCGTGAAGAATTGGGTTTTGATTGTACAGTTGGGTGAAGCAGAGCTTTGGGCATTAACCGCAATAGCTTGGAGAGCGAGCAATGCTGGAAGCCAGCGCTCCGCTGCGAACAAATGCATTATGCTTTTGAATGGGAGTCAAATATAATTGCTGTGGTGAGATTTTGATGGTTAAAAAGAATAGAGAATTGGAGATTGCTGAAATCACAAAGTGCAACAGTCTGCCATATTTTATATCTATTTTTCGAGCTCTCGACCAGCAACTTCATGACGAGGACGTCGCAATGATGTCCAATTCAGGAAAACATGATCCTATTCATTTCGACTTCGTGTAGATGTACTATTTTAGTTTGCTGACGCACCACTTCCCTCATGATGCTGTAGACAGCATCATCGTTCAGCAATGCAATAATCTGCAAGTAACGGCGTAAACCTCTTTCTAGCTAGGACAGCCCGAGCAAGGCTTTGATCTCACATGAAGCACACAGACTCCCCGTAAGTAGGCACTGACCCGACATGACTTATTGGGCACAGATCTAGTTGGCTTTCTCTAACCCGCTTTCATGTCACTTCGTCGGTTTTGGCGCAGATTCCATCGCGTTGTTGCCCCAATCGGGTAATAGTGATCGTCAGGGCTGTGCCAACCTGAAATGGCTACAGAACTCATTACAGGTTTTGCGCTACAACTGACGAAGGATCACGGATGTAAATAGCATACAGGCGACTCACTTGCATCTTTGATTGGCTAAGTCCATTTGCGATGCAGTTTTTCAAATGATGGTAGAAATTCCACCCGGTTCTATGGCGGGATCCCGAGAAGCAGTTAGTAGGGCGACAGGCTGGAGGGATCCGACTCGTTGTATCGCAACCGCGACGCTGACATCAAGGGGCTGAGCTTGTAAAGCGCAGAATCCTTCCAGCGCAATTGATTTGGCGTCATAACTACTTCCCGTGATGAGAACTTATATAATGGAGAGAAATTCTCCGCCGCAGGTCAATTTTCCAGTGAAACAACAACGATACTGTGGCTCTAGTAATTACGTTTCGACGCATTCTTCTTCTGCGTTTGCTTTTACTAATCTTTCGTGCTGAAATTATGGCTCGCGGCGAGGATGCTGAAGTCGCTGCTTATACTAGTACCACCTTGCAACTGATTAAAAGCCCACTGGCCGAAAGAAAGAATATCGAAGCGGCAGCGCTTAGCAATGCTAGAAATCCTTCATTCATTGCTGATGCCGATGTGGACGATGGTCTGGAGTTCGCCAAGGTATAGACTGCGAGCCATTTCTTACAGCTGCATTGCTGATGCGAAGATAATAGCATGAAACCTCTTCTACTCTCGAGGTAACGCCGACATCAATATTCTCTATGTCGATAGTCAACTGATAGTACAAGCTATTCTATGATCTTTGGTTTGTCGCAAACTTGAATGTTTTCTCAACAGTATTTGCGCCCTCTGTTGACACTTTGTGCACAATCTTACTGACTCTGCTACCAAGGTCCATGAAATCAATGACACTTCAAGTCTTGGATCATTTGTGGGATACATACTGTATGCATATAAACATGGGACAGGACTCTTGATGCTGGATGTTGCTAACCTTATGATAGACTTCTCTGGACAACTTGGCTCTTAACAACCCTATATGATGTCCGTTATGTCACTGACAGTGTCTGGGAGCGACTTTGCCGTGCAGTGCACTTGGCTGTCATGGTTGGCTTTGCTGAACTCGGTCCAACATTTGACTTTTTCAAGGAAGCAAAATCTGTCTTCCGGGCCATGTGTATGGTTAAACTCCAAGCAATCACGGACCAACTCGAGCTAATGGGCTAACCGATGATAGGCTTATTTCTCATGGTGTCTAGATTCATGCTCGCGCTTCAGTATTTTACAGTGTTACTCCAAATTCGCAAGCATAGAGAAACCAGAGTACCACTTATGATCGCAACGGGATTTCATTTGCTATTCGCCGTGTAAGGGAAACTTTTGCTTTTGTTGACAAGCAATCAAGGAGCATGCTGACTAGAAACTATGCAGAATCTATTTAGCGGTATCCTTTTTATCCGTTGATGAAGCAAGCTCAGTCGTTGCCGTCAGTTGGTATATTGGGGCAGTAGCCGAGGTCGCCATTCATCTTGGGCTCTCCAGTCTCAAAGCTCTCAGTCTATCTGATACTCATCTTAGCGAGCGCATGAATCTGCTTACTTTGATAATCCTTGGTGAAGGTTTGTTGAGACATTTTAAAGTCGGATTGGCCATATGCTAACTCGTCGCATAGGAGCAATCATCATAGCGAGGAATATACAGACTGTTGTGAAAAATACCTTCCTAAAAGACAGCAACAATATGTGGTGTACGTAACATCCAGTTCATCTCATTACTATTGCTATCTTTATTAATAGTGTTTTTCCAGCTGCTGCTCTCATCGGAGTTGTCACATGCGCGGTTGCGCTGATTTACTTCGTCTACCAGATGTACTTCGATTGGATGCATTCTGGCAAATTGACTCATAAGCGACAGATGTTTTGGGTTTCCTGGCACCTTCCATTCCATGTCGCTCTGGTCCTTCTTCTAGAGGGTGCAAATCAGTTCATTGCTTGGTCTCAAGCGCTTCAGTCGATCAATTCAGCCGCTCAGAGCATCGTCAATATTACTTTTGAGCTACCTAGTAGCCCAACTACAAAAGAAGTGGTTCGAATATTAAATGAAACAGTGACGGAGCTCCTCGAGTCATACCCTCCCGAAGACGAAGTTGCAGCTCTGGATGACATCGAGAGAACTTATCAGAGCTTGCTTACTCTTCCAGACTCCTTTTGGAATGTGAATGGCCAACTAGCCGACAATGACCCAGAAATGGTGCGCTGGCTTAACGGCACGAGAGATCTTGCGCAAACTGTCTTTAATGGAATATTTGCGTCGTTTAGTCTCGCGGCACCTGCAGAGGAGACCGAATCTACAGATGTGCAGTCTGCCACCGAAGCCGCGTATTTAGCCACTGCGAATAAGTTTGGAACTGTGGTAAGTTTAGAACCCTCTTCAAAGTTTCCTCAGCTGATCTGTCCTATAAGTTCATCTATGCCTTTATTACAGCCGGCTTAGTCCTGATCCTGATGACCGCTCTACATGTTGTATGTAAACAACGTGGTTGGTCGATTTTCAACATACTTCGAGCACTGATCACCGTTGGCATGGGTCTCGGGCTTGCGTTGACAAGTTTACTCACGTTCAACCAGAGTGCTCTCTCCACCTTTTTGCCAACGCCATGGCCACTACCGACGATTGCGATTTGTTATTTTGTCATTCTGGTTCTTAGTCACATACCCGAGCCTAAACAACTGTTCATGAAGAGAAAGGTAACAATGTATAGTACTCTGGGGAAACCAAACGATGCTGAGCTAGGGGCAGTGCAAGAACCCTAGAGGAATGCTGGGTATGGCAAGGCCGGATGGCGCTCAACTGTTTGACACAGAACATCCAGGAACAAAGGCAACATCGAAAAAATGAATCTACCCGAAAAGCGCTGGTGTGATGTGGCTATTGAGTTATGGACAGTCATTTATGAAGTATTTATGTATACAGGATAGCTCTGAAAATACACATAGTATTGTCCATTTGCAAAGTTGCGACTGCTGTTTTCGTCTCATAGACAAAGGGGCGTATATAGTTTTGGCTGATCGAATATATGCACCAATCGAAACACACCTGAATATGCGGTTATGAAATTAATCTACCGGTATGATATAACGCTCTACAGACAGCCAAATACAACACCGAAGGCATGAAGGTATACATCAAAGGGCTTTTGTGAACAGTGGATATGCATGGAGGCGCTAGTCATGATGTAAGTCTGAGTTAAGCATGTCGAGTTGCTTCTATAGCTAGGAGGATTGTTGACGCATGACTCATCGGCCAGATGATTCCACATACATGTACACGTTGAGGGATTCGCCATGTCAGGGCGTTCTTATACCAAGAGTAATTGGTCACTTAATGTGTCCAAATATTGATATCTTGACAACAAAGCGCAAGGCATACACATAATCATGCTTATGAATCCGTACAAAGGACCAGACATCAACGCTAAATTTAATTGAACCTGGTGACTCGATCCTCATGGAATCTTCTTAGGCTCTACTCCTTCAGCACTTATTGCTTCTACCATAAACTACAACTTGTTTCGCTGTTGAAAGCTCTTTCATATCATACCCAGCTCATCAAGAACTCAAAAAGGAAGGCTACTTACTGAAGGCTTAAGGGTCCGAACCGGCACTCCAGAATGGCCTCCTCAACCCTTCCTTCAAACGACGCTCTCATCAACATTGGCACTCACTCTCTGGCCCTCTACATTCACGGCCCACAGCCCAGAACCTCCAAAGAGCCCGTTGTACTATTTGTCTCTGGTGTAGCAAGCGATGCTCTCAACTGGCAAGCCGTGGTGCGATTGCTTCCTCGCTCGCTGCGAAGCTACACGTACGACCGTTCCGGCTATCGCAACTCCGAGTCCTCACCAGTCGTTCCCTCAGCTGAGAACGTTGCTATAGAGCTCTCTCTTCTAATCGAAAAGGCTCCCATTCCAAATCCTCTAATCATCGTGGGGCACTCCTGGGCCGGTGTGATCATACACGAGTTCATCTCACTGAAGGGAACTAGCCAGATCGCTGGTCTAGTGCTTGTTGACGCCAACCATGAGACAGCGCCATTGGTGATAGATGTAGATGAGCCGATTCTCTGGAATGTTATAGCAGCAGGCGTTGAGCCATACGCTGCTTGGGGTGTTGAAGCAGAACGCAAGTTGACTCGGGAGGATGGGATGCATTCAAAGCTGCAGAAGCGACCGATAAATACAAGCTAATTGCGCACAAAGAGGATGTAGAGCAATACTTACCAAGTTTTGAGACTCTACGCAAGAAAAAGCAAGGTAAAGAACAGCCATTAGTTGAGGATAAGCCGGTCTATATAATAGGGGGGACGCGAAGCAGAGACTGGAATAGGTTGTACAAGGCGGGAGTTGCGAAAGGGAATGGAACTGAGGAGCAGAGAAACTACGTTAAAGAATTAATAAGGACGGTTGATAAAAAGAATGAGGGTCTCATGAAGGAATTTCTGAAACTCTCTACCAAGAGCAAGCTTGTCTTTGCCACTGAGAGTGGCCATTTTGTCCAGATGACCCAGCCGGACACTGTCGTGGAAGGAGTGAAATGGATCATCTATAACTTCTCAACATCTTCTTAGCTTGCAGGGAAAAAAAGATTTCACGTTGGCACCTAATCACAGTGAATAAAGTGTTGCAAAAGAAAAAAAAAAAACTTGAAAGGACCCGATATTTCCGCTACCAATAGTCGTATATGACTACGAATGCGAGATAGACGGATACTCTAGCATTTCCCACGGCTTTAGTAAAACCCTGCTGCCGCTTCCATGTGTTAACCTTTGCACATGTGTATTATTGGGTACGAGGCATGACATGCAAAAAAGGAAAGGTTTTAGACGGTGGATATGACATCTACACGCACCTAGCAATAAGCTGTCTATTATGGGCACATATTCAGACTATCATCTTTTTTTCTCCACGATTACTATCTCCATAAATGATGATGCCTACTGCAAGTTGGCAAAGCCCATTGTCCCATCGTCGACGTTGTGATCAATGTATTTGCCCTGGAAGAACGCCTGACCAACCAACCACTGGCTGCCAAACTCGCTCGTCCCGTGGATGCTAGCTGTGCAGTTGTTGCCGTTTTGGCCGAATGCCAAGGCCTCGGGCAAGATATTGAAGTTGTTGCCGCCGAATGCGAGCCCAATGGTGGGCGGTGCATCGCAGGCATAGTAGCCAGTGATGCCATTGCTGTTTTGCACGGATTGGATGCCCGCCTTCTGGAATATAGTCTTGACCTGTGAAGTAGGCCCGAAGATGACGGTCGTGCCGGAGTCTGTGATGATGGAGGCGCTGCGCTGAACCGTCGCTCCATTTACAGTGACATCGCCGGTGACGATCCACTGATCGCTGGCCGAGACTGAAGTCAAGCTACCGCTGAATGTGTCCGTCGCAACGGAGCCATAGTAGAGCGTACCAGTCTCGTCGGCGTTGAGCGCCAACCCGAAACGGCAGGATGACAGCGTGCCTTGGTCGCAGAGACTCTGGAAGAATGGGGTCTGGCCGAGAGCGCTGCTATCAATGCCTGCGTAGCCGATGAGGCCATCGTGAGGGAAAGTCGGCGGCGACTGAGGGCTTGAGACGGTTCCAAGGTACTGTTGGGGGACGGTCAGGTTGGCCCCGTGTTGGGTGATGACATCCCGGTAAATTTGGCCCGACGCCTGCCGTTGGTCAGTAACTACGATTATTTGGTAACTGACTTCTGTTTTCACTTGCAGATAAAGTCCCAGATCCATCGGGATTCGTCGTGGCATATGAAATTCGGAAGGTCTTCTTGGTGTTGACTGAGCTGGAGCCAGGCTTGTAAATCCCCGGGTTCAAGATGGCGTCGGCGGAGCCGGTATCAATTAGGATTTCGAGGTTGGGGCTGCCTCCAATTGTGAAGTTGGAGAACCAGAAGCCCTGTGTATATTAGCATTTCCAATCCAAGTGATATGATAGGCAAGTTGTAGGTATTCCATCACCTGGTCATCCCAGAGATCCGCTGTTCCTTGTACCAGCCGTCCCTTTGCTGTGGCAATGTTCTTTGCAGCCACGGCATTGACCTTCTTGAAGTGCAGAGGATGCGAGAAGTCGGCCTGGACAGCTTGGATAGCGGCCAACAGCGACAGGACCGTTTTGAACGACATGGTGGACTAATTCTCAGAGTGACGTGAACCAACACAAAAGACAGCAAGCAATTGTCGGTAAGGACAATTCGGGGCCATCCTACATATATATAGATATAGTACCCCTTACAGGATGCATAATCCTCGTGAATCGTTACACCAACATATGCTGAGGGGTCCTTTCACATGCGTCCGTGCTGACCTTCTCAATTCAGTATTTCACTACCGCTACAGCGTCGCATTGTAAACAAAACGACGATCAACTAGGCTCAGATCAGCGATAGAGCGATCGTGAGTCTTCGGCGCTCCATAATAACGTGACCGAAGCTTTCAAACGTTCCCGATTTATCCGTTTCCAAAAAGGAAAATAAATAAATTGGAGTCGAGATCTTTTGTAGATCAAGATTCTAAGATATCATTGGGTAATTAACTCTATTTTTGTGACAAAGGAATGGATAGCTGATTGGATTTATGGAGGAGTGCGCGGCCGATGTGAGGATATCTGATGATTACCTACATATTATAAATATTGTCTATTCACACCGCATTCGTACAAATCGTCGAGACATGTCTAATACGGATCCCTCATTCTTTAGTTGCTTCAAAAAAAAAACCTGAATCCTTGTAATAGCGTTCTAATCGAAGTCATGACGGGTTCCCCGCATACCAAGATCGATAGACCACATGAGAGTTCATGATGTCGTGATCAGGGCTCAAGAAGACTTCTTATTACAATCATAGGTGTTTCCTTTTCAACGACTTACTTTATTTGTAGTGTTCATTGCGCCTCGTAACAACAAATATTCCGGGGTATGATTACGCAATCCGCGATATTCTCGCCGTGGATAGAAACATTCACAATACAGGCTGGGCTGCAACCATATTTAAGGATTTTGAGAAGAAGGTAAATGCCAAGAATGAGGCGGTTAAAGCATATTAGAGACCAATAAATTGACTAGATATGTTCAAACCCAACAAGAAGGATGTTTAGAATTTCTTCAAAAGCGATCATTTAGGATCTGGTCTATTTGCCGGCTAAGTCGCTGGAACTTTAGCAATTCATGATGGACGAGGTCAACCTGTAGAGCCAATTTGGAGCATTGACAGCGGCGTAGGAGGCATCGCGGCAAGTGATATGAAGACGTTTTTGCCAGCTATATTATGGAAATATATACAAGGCCAAAATGCAATTCCCGTAGCGCAGGAGACTGCAAAAAAAAAATACGTCGGCACGAAGCAAATAGCGCGAAGTTCCCGCCAATCAACTAAACTAGTGGTTATAGTTTTATGCAAGTGTATGGCATCTTATTTTCTCTATCACTGGATATTCCAATGGATAGAAAACCTGTTGTATACTCACTGGGATTATACTTGTAATTTTAATTATTTGCTTTTGTTCACAATGCGAGGTGTGGAAGTGGAAAGCAATAGATATACTTGTCGAAGATGAGGCCCGTTTGTAGTCGTGGGTGCTCGGTTTAACGAGAGATGTAAGAATACAACACAGAGACACTAGTCCTTTAAGTATTTAATAGACCAATGAGCGAATAGCAAGTAAGAACAACATATTTAGACACAATAGAGTGGCACAAACGACCTAGCCAGAAAATTCCTTTTGTCCCTCTTACATCTTGCGCAAAGCTATTTGTTAAGATGCCTAGATTATACATTTATTGCTGTGTACATTCTCACGGTGCCTCTCCTAGGATCGCGTGATCTCTTTGAGCCCATGATGAAGCCAAGAAATCAGGTGCGGCTGTCGAAGACCTGTCTTTCTCGTAAAGTACAGGCATCTTTGCTAGACTGGAAATCATCGGTGCCTCGTTCGCTATATTCCCATTTCAGTCGTCAACCGGTTTTGGTCTCGCGGTTAACGACAATCGCTGTAGTGAATAAATGAATGGGTGGATGGATCAATGAGTGTGTAACTGTCCCATCCCCTTGCGTCAAAGCTGATACCGATGCGACACCATATTGGTCACTTGTCCATCAGGCACCAATCACCAATCACCGATCAGGTTTTCATAAGGTCGACGCTGAGCCTCACCGTAACCGCCCAAAAATATTTCTTTTCTCTAGTACTATTCTCTCCTCTCGCAATTCATGTTGCGGCTGAAACACTTCCAAGATATGATCCCAGTCTTTTGACGCAGCATCTATTGCACCAGGTCAACGTGATGCAAATAGCTTCAACTGGTAGCGACGATCAAGCTTGCTCAGTTTTTGCGTCTCCCCAGATAACTGCTGTGTTAGTTTCTCGCTTTCTATTGCGACAGGGTCCTGATGAGTAAAACAAACCATTCGGAATGCAACGTTAGTTTTAACTTTTACCTTCGCCAAATCTAGTATCCGCCAAGTATGTCAGATTCTTCGGATCCTCCCCCATCAAGCGACTCCGAATCCATCTACCATCGCCCGTCTCATCGAAAAGACTTTCAGATAGCTATTATCTGCGCCTTGTCATTCGAATACGATGCCGCCACACTCATTGTTGATGAATTCTGGGATCAAGATGGTAAACAATACGGACGAACGTCTGGAGATACGAATATATATAGAAATGGGCGGATTGGCATGCACAATGTCGTGCTCATGCTTCTACCAAATATGGGCAAAGCTGCAGTCGCTGGGTCCGCAGCTAGTTTGCGGACAAGCTATTCGAACTTGAGGATTGCATTCCTCGTGGGAGTCTGTGGCGGGGTCCCCATCCTTGGTGCACATGAGGCACTCCTTGGCGATGTGGTTATTGGCGAAGCTATAATTCAGTATGATTTCGGCAGACAGTATCCAGGGGAATTCATCCCCAAGGAAACGGCCGTAGCTACCCAGAGCCTACCGAACAAAGATATTCGGACACTCCTCGCTTACTTTAAATCCGATACTGGGAAGTCCGATCTGCGACAAGACACTGCCAGGCATTTGAAAGCTTTGCAAGGTGCAGCTATTCTAAAGGAGTATCGGTACAGTTACCATTATCCTGGTTTCACCGAAGATAAGCTCTTCGACGCGACGTACCGACACAAGCACCGAGAAGGACGGCCGAGGGTTTTATGTTGCGAATCTGACACTTATTGCGATACTGCGGCACAGTCATCTTGCTATGAGTTGGGATGCGACGACAGAAAGTTAGTTCAGAGGCAACGTTTGGAAAGGAAACGATACCTGTCAATTGAGGAGGCGCAATGCCCAGACATTTTCATCGGGCGCGTTGCATCTGCGGATACAGTGATGAAGTCTGGCGATCATCGTGACCAGATTGCCAAACAATACAATATCATAGCTTTCGAAATGGAAGGGGCCGGCCTTTGGGACGAGTGCCCATGTATCGTCGTCAAGGGGATTTGTGACTATTCAGATAGCCACAAGAACAAGATTTGGCAACCGTTTGCTACAGCAACCGCAGCAGCTGTCGTCAAAGCTATGTTAGCACGGTACACCATAGAAGATCATGCTCAACTATCTACGTCGAGTGCTGGTGAGATTGAAACTGTTGCTTATTCGAATAATCATGCTAACATGGAAATAGGTTCTACTCAACGCGGCCAGATCGTTCCCGCACAAAATGAGATAGCCCATTATGGTGCGCGAAAACCATCATCGGGATCTATTCCTGGTACCAAAGAGTCGAATGGGATTCGAACCCTGCGGGATAGCATCTTCGATTTTCAAAGGGCACTTACTGATGACCAACAACGTGAATTACAAGGCATAGAGACGGTACCAGATGCAACTGCCGTCCTTGTATTTACTGCTGAGCTCGATTCGCTGAATAGAAACAGAAAGGGGCGTAGCATCGCTAGCAGACTCCATTCAGTCTTACAGTCCGTTCGGGATTTTTCCGCGGTTGTCGAAGCAGTTGATTCGACGTACCTAGGAATGTCTTCCCTCCTATGGGGAAGTGTGAAACTGACAATGCTAGTAAGCCTATCCCCTCGATTGATATACATATCGCTATGTCGATACTTATGACATTAGGTGACTGTCAAGTCTATAACATATGATGAGGCCCTCTCAAAATTCTTCATGGACCTTGGGAGGATTTGTCCACGGTGGGGAGATTATCAAATCCTGTACCCATCTTCACCACGGCTTCAGGATGCCCTTTATGAGTTCTATGCATCGCTCATTCGCTGTTGCAAGCGCGCATTAGAAACTGCTCAACCTTCATGTAAGTTAGAATGTCGCAAGCCACCGCAACCCCAACTAACAATAAGAAGGGTCAGGATACCTCTTCAACTCAACCCGAGAATCACTTGACAGAGATTTTGGACAGGATGCGAACGACATAGAAAGACGCAGCAAGTATGTCAAAGATGCGATATCACTCGCCAAAACAGAAGCCCATTATCAAAACCAACAGCTTCAAAGCTTGAAACAGGGAGGGGGTTCAAAGAGAAAAAAAAGACCATGGGGTTTTCGCCGAAAAGGAGACCGGCCTGATAAGATGGAGTCATGGCAGACGCAAAGTGACCAAAGACAAGCAAGGGAAAGAAAACAGCGGTTGCTTGACTCCTTGTCGATTCATGACTATTTGACTCCATTTAAACAAAGCTGTCGGAAGCGGTATAGTGGTACATTAGAGTGGCTGTTTCATACAGACGAGTTCAACATATGGGTCAACAGCCGAGATTGTCCTATATTATGGTGCTCCGGAAAGAGTGAGTTCAAGTATCCCTATCAAACCAATGTTGACAGTCACTTATGTTGATCATTTGTAGTTGGCGCGGGCAAAACAACTCTTACGTGAGTGCATAAAAACAATGACCTTTCAAGTATGTTGTCTAATGATAACCGATAGAGCGAGTGTCATCGAAAAACTCTTAATGGAGAAGCGCAGCCCGGATGTCTTCATCGGCTTTTTCCTCATACGGTTTGATGATCATCAGTCATTAAACGCCGAGGTCATTCTCAAGTCAATCATTCGACAGATGCTAGATGTATCAAGCATTTACGAAAGGGTCGAAAAGTTATTGGATTGTACGAAACTCAACTTGACGTTGAGACTCAAAGAAATTGCGAAATTACTGGAAAGTATGGCTGAAGAATTCAAGACCCTCTACATCGTACTAGATGGGCTAGATGAGTGTACAAAATCGGAACGCCACGATCTCCTTGAAAATCTTCACTCAGCTATGAATGTCAGGTCTAACATAAAGCTTTTCCTCGCTGGTCGTGATAGCGTCTCCAGAGAGATACAAACGAGATTTCCGACCATGAAACAGATTTCCATGAACTGTTCGTCAGCTCAATCCGACATCACGACGTACATTGAAGGCGTAGTGCAGGAAAAACTGCAAACTGAAGAGCTTATAGTTGGGGATCCGGACCTCATCGAAGATATCAAAGCGGCACTCTCAGACGGGGCAAATGGCATGTGAGTTGAAACCTGGTAAATGTTGATTTACATGTTGACACCTCTAGGTTTCTTTGGGTTGTATTCCAAGTAAATGAGCTTTGTTTACAGCATTGTGATGAGGACATCCAAACAGCCATTCGAAATTTCCCCAAGGACCTAGAGGAAACATTCAATCGGGCCATCGACCGCATCGTTTCTCGTGGGAATGAAAGTATCGCGAAGCGTATTTTTCGGTGGGTGGCTGCTGCGAAAGAGCCTCTGTCCCTCGATCAGCTAGAGGAAATTATCTTCGTTGAAATTGGACAAGAATACTCCAAGAGAGAACGACATTCTAACGGCATTGCTCACATCAGCTCATGGTGTGAAAATTTCGTTCAAGTCGATGAGGAACTAAAAACAGTTCAATTCGTGCATCAAACTATCCAGCAATTTTTCATTGAGAAGTCGTTTAAGTCTCGAAATGACCAGTTCTACCTGAATCTCGAAGATGCCGACCACTTTCTTGGCGAGATATGCGTTACTTATTTGAACTTCAATGACTTCAAGACAACACTAGCCAGAAGACAGCAACCATTACCACTTATGCCGCCTATAGCTATAGCTGGGACAGCTTTACGACCACAATGGAAGGCTATCTTATCGATTCCTGCTCTCTTGAAGCTTAATCTGAATACTAGAGGAGGCTCAGCGGCCGCAAATGCTATTGGGGCTTTAGAAACCTTTCAACGTGATGATACATGGGGCGCAATAGAGAGGCTACTTGAAGGGCACCCTTTCCTACGATATGCATCAATTCACTGGATTTTTCATACGACCATGTTTCAAAGAGAAAGATCCAAGACCTGGGGTTTATGGGAAAAAATGATTGTTCAAGGACATGATCTCGTGAAGAAGCCATGGGTTGAAGAATCTTTCAGCGAAAGCATCCCAATCATCCTAGACTGGAGCCAAAAAGTTCACCATTATGCCCTTATACGACTTATTTTCCTCAGCGGCATGCTTTTAGGCTTCAGCTTAGGGCCACTCATGCAGAGTGCAGTGGTTGATGAAGACATTATGCTGCTCGATATCCTTCTCGAGCACGAAAAATCAGGTATTATAATAGACCAGGCTTGCGAAACAGCGGCTCAACTTGGCCGCCTCGATGCTATGGAAAGACTGTTAGCCGCTGGAGCAGATGGCCAGACTGCTCTACAGGCTGCCGCGCTTAGTGGCCAGCAAAATATTATCATGCGCCTATTAGCAACCGGTATAGATGGTCAAATTGCACTGCAGGCTACTGCTAGACGTGAAGACGTCTCTGGCGCTACATCCTTGTTAGATGCTGGCGTAGATGGTCAGCCTGCACTACAGGACCTTATTAATAGTGCCAATTTGGACGTTATTGATCCAAGGCCGGGTCAAGCTTTACCAGACTTTCCTAGTACTGATCTTAATCCTATCAAGATCCTGTTGGCTGCCGGTGTAGATGGCCAGCCTATACTACAGACTGCTATTAAAGGAGGCCATCGAGTTACCATCGCCCTCCTGTTGGCTGCCGGTGTAGATGGTGAGCCAGAATTACTTGCAGCTTCTAGAAGTGACAATCAGGATATCCTGAAGCTGCTGTTAGCCGCTGGTGCAGACGGCCAGACTGCACTACTTAACGCTGCCCGCAACGACGATCTAGACGCGATGAAGGGTTTCTTGGCAGCTGGAGTTAATGGTCAGGATGCACTGCAATCCGCTGTTACAAGTGGCGAAGAATATATCATCGAATGCCTCTTAGCTGCTGGTGTATATGGACAGCCTATACTACAGGCCGCTGCTGATAATGATGATCTACACACCATAAAGCTACTCTTAGCTAATGGTGTAAATTCTCAGACAGTATTGTCAACCGCTGTTGAACAGGACTGTCTCGTCCTCATTGAGAAGCTTCTGGCCGCTGGTGTTCGGATGAGCGCATCTATCACACGTACACTGATGGACAGATCTGGTCTAAAAAGTGCTGCTCGACTGGGCTATATCAACACCATTGAGGCTCTCTTGGCGGCCTTTGAACCTGAATCAAATGTACTTTTTAAATGGGATTTACAATCTGCTCTAGCTGCCGCTTCTCGATGTGGTCATCTTCATATTGTTGAGAGGTTCTTGGCCGCTAGAGTCTCTGTAAATGGACAATCGATATGGGATGATCAACTTGCGTTACAGGCTGCTTCTGAAGGAGGTCATCTCGATATTGTTGAAAGGCTGTTGGAGGCCGGATCAAAAGTAAATACATGCGACGCACCGGAAAATCCAAATGCCTTACGAGCCGCCTGTCAAGGTGGTCATCTTGATGTCGTTAAGAGGCTGTTGAACGCTGGAGCAAAGGTAAATGAAAATGGCAGATCGGGAAACGCTCTACTTGCTGCTTCCAAAGGTGGCCATCTTGAAGTTGTTGAGACACTTCTGGCTGCTGGAGCAAAGGTAAATGAAAATGGCAGATCGGGAAACGCTCTACTTGCTGCTTCTGAAAGTGGACATCTTGAAGTTGTTGAGAAACTTCTGGCCGCTGGATTCGAGATCAACACGCACAGAACTAGATGGATGGGCCGTATTGCCTTGCAAGCCGCCTCTCAAAAGGGCCATCTCGAAGTTGTGGAGAGGCTCTTAGCTGCTGGGGCCGATGTAAACATGGCTGCTGGATCAAGAGCTTACAGTGCCTTGCAACTTGCTGCCGAGGGTGGACACACGAAAATTGTGTCGCGATTGAAACAAGCAGGCGCGAAAGAGTCGAATAACAGTTGAGAAACACGCAGAGAGCTCAAAGATCTGTTAAGGAGCTTTACAATGGAGTGGAGTGTTCAGAGGATTTGCAAAAAGGTTCAGCAATTGAGCAACATACAGTGTAGATTATTGACGTTGATAGGCAATGCAAGGATACGAAGCTTAATGTTAGCTACCCTGGTGGTTAAAGGTGTTCATAGTACCTACTAATGTAAATGATGTGATAAGCTGCTAGTATTCTCTTACACACGTATTCTCCTCGACTGTTACTGGGATATTGCAGCCTTTACATGACGCAGTCATCAGTTTATTTGCTTTTCTCACCTTGTTACCCGGTTAGCGACATCATGGGAATACTTTGTTGATCCCACTTCGTTTCCCGGAACCCGTATCTATTATTACCTATCGACCAATATACCAAATTAAACTCGTTAAATACTCCTGATAAAACAGAAAAATTGTCCTCCTTGCGGAATTGAACCATATACACACATGTTATTTTTGTACGTCAATTTACTTTCCCCCTCTACATCATCATGGTATTTGTCTCCTCTCCCACAAACGGCTTTCTCCCCCACACCACGAAAACGGGCATGTAAGCATGCACGCGCGGGTCCGACAGTTCCTCTCGGATCTTGACCAAAGAGAGCTAAAATAAGAGTCCAACAACGTCAGCGAATAGCCCGGCATGAAACGTCACCACGGGCAAGTACATGCACGGCGTAGCGGTGGTTGGTTAGACGATGGAGAAAAACATTGGAGCCCGTTACTCACCTCAACCTCAGCCGGAGTACGACCAAACACCTTGTTCATGAGCTGGATGGAGAAGCCATTCAAACCCTGGGAAAAGTTCTCTCCCCACATGCGTCCGATTTCCTTGAGGCGCTCGTCCCGGGGCCACTCGTTCATGGGTATCTTGAAGATGAGCTGTTGCACGTCAACGAAGCCCACGCTCTCAAACACCTCCTTGAGGGTGGAGCCCAGGATGGCAGGGCGCTGGAAGTTCTCGGCGGCGACTCTCATCTCGTGGAGCCATGTGCACATTGGGCCGGCCGGGTCCAGCGTGCCGTCGTCACATGCGAAGACGGCCTCGACCTCCTGCGACTCGAACCAACCGCCGGGCTCGAGGGCATCAAAGGCCTGCTCGGCGACTTCTTTCTGGAAGTTGCCCCAGCTGCCTGCAGTGAGCCGGGTATGTATGTAGCCAAACTTGTCCGTGTAGTCCCACTGATCACTCCTGCAAAAAAGGCGCGCGCGGGAAAACGAGTTAGTGGTGGTGTTTTTTTGTCTGACTTTTCAATTTTTCTCACTCGCCGTGTTTTTCTTCTTCTTCTTCTGTTGGTTTGGTCATGACCTACGAGTCTTCGACATAAAAGTTGACGTTGGGAGGCACCATGTCGGGCTGGATGGGCGACAGGTCTGTGCCGACAACCTCGGACGAGGGGAATCGGTCGCCCATCTCAATGGCCCAATCACCAACACCCGTGGCGACATCGAGGATGAACTGCGGAGGCTTGGCCGGCGAGAGCGGGGCAAAGTACAGCCTGCCCCCGAAGAGGTTCTTGATGATGGGGCCCTGGAACGCAAGTCGTTCCTGTTCAGGAATATCGTTGGGGTAGGCATATGCTGCGGGTTTGCTGCGGTCAGCTGTTGCGTTTTTGCTCTTGGGTTGGCAGGACCTGGAAACAAGATAACGGGGGAAACGAAACGAGGAGAGGAGAGGGGGCTGTAACATACATCCCGCTCGGTATGCGTGATAGGTGCGGCCAAACTCGTGCGGATAGTCCATGACGCTCTCGGACAGCGACATGGAGCCGTCGTCTCTAATGCATCACCGGGTTAGAAGGTCTGCGGGCACGGCACGGCGAGTATGTCACAATCCGCATACACTAGTTCCGGTGACTGCACGACGGTCGCGTAAGTATCGCATCCAACAAACATTGACATGACATGTATGAAGATGGAGCAGCGGCCGCAGCCAATAGCTAGCAGCCACGGATCCAGAGAGAAAATGCGGCAACCTACATCGGGCTCGATAAAATTGGAGACATCAAAGGTGAACTTGAAGTTCTTGAGGTCGAGCAGAGAGTTTCGGTTGGGGTTGTCACCCGCAGGCTGTCCGGAGGTTCCCATTGCGAAAGGCTTACTGGTGTAACTGGTACAATCTTGAACTTCACGGCAGATGGGTTGATGGTTGATGATGGGGAATGGCACTGGGCAAACCGAAACGAAACGAAACCACCACAAGGGGCACCATTTTAAACAGCTGAGAATCCCGCTAGCCAGGGGTGGCTTTTCTCAGCTGCAAAGAGGCCCCCGGTGGGGCAGCGACGGGCAAATCCGTACAGTCCGACAGGCCGCAAGCTCGAGACTCAAGTAGCAGAGAGCGAGAAATGAATCCGGGGTTTATACAGTGGCTTTCAGCCCGAAGGAAATGGCCATCCGTTTCTGGTTACCATCAAAGACACGGAAACTTCACACCGCCAGAAACACACTGTTGGGCCAGGGTTTATTGGGGAGCCTTTGGCCTGGTAACCAATGGGAGGCAATGGAAGGATTCGAGGCGGCACATGTCTTACTTTTGCGAGCTCAAACTATCACTGGCTGCCAAGCTCTTGGGAATCAGCGAATCCGGGATACTGGGAATGATTAGCTAATGGCAGTGACAGACTCTCCCCGCAAAAAAAAAGGAAAAAAAGGATAGCCGGACTCGCAATGCCGCCATCACCACTGGGCAAAAGCTGGTCCCATGTTGAGGACTGGCAGCTAACATCAATAGCAGCTACTACTCGAACAAGCTGCCCGCGGATCTTGTCGAGTTGCGCGAAATTGCGCTCTATTTTGCAACGGCGGGCGCGACGGCCCCTAGCAAAGAATCCAAGTCAGGGGAATCAAATTGCAAGTCACAATCATAGCTACTCATCAACCTGCAACAGTCTGGCGTAGACCTTGATGCCTCCTCGCCTGGTCACGCCCATGGTCATGTCCCGGACAATGCGCAAGTCTTCCGCCACCGTGTCGTGCAACTCCAGGTTGAACCGACGGGCGAAATGGGCAACTGTGAGGAACAATTCCAGGTAGGCAAGACTGGAGAGTCGAGTTGAGTCCGTTAGTCAGCGCGGAGTTTCATGCAACCAGGGTTTGTGAATCAAGACAAGGGCTTAGTGTAAGGTAGGCGGGTATTGCATACTTGATGCCAATGCAACCTCTGGTCCCTCGGTTAAATGTAACCAGATATCTCTTGAGGTTGTCTCCTCTCTCCGCCGCCTCGATCCATCTCTCGGGGCGGAATGTGGCCGGTTCTGGAAAGATGGACGCGTTGCCGTGGATAAAGTATGTGCAACTGCTGACGGGGGTCTTTTTTCGGATTGTAGGTTAGACGGTGAGGGACGAAAAAAGAGGGGAATTGCTAGGGATTCGTCACTCACTCCCGGGGGAATTGTGTATTCCTTGTACTGCAGAGCTTCTGTCGGGGCTACCCGTGGAAGGCGGGCAGTTATTCCATAAGCCAACCGCAAGCATTCGTTGATAAAGGCACTCTGGCGGTAAGTAAATCGTGAGCCCCATGTCATATCCATTTTGAAGCCCTTTGGGGATATGCTGTGTAACATACCAAATATGGCAACTGTTCCAGCTCGGCCCATGTCGGCCTGCTGTCCAGCGTAGGCATCGCCTGCTTGAGCTCTGCTTGCAGTGTCTCGCGCACTCTGTCGTCGTTTGCCAGGTAAAAAGAAGCGGCGGTTAGCACTCGCGCGGTGGTTTCCGTGCCGGCACCGAGGAGGCCAAATGTCTCGTCTCTCAGCCGATTGTAGGACCTCTCCTTTGCCGGAATACTTGGGTCCGCCAAAGTGGCCACCATTGTCTTTCGCTTTCCCACGTACGACTCATTTTTTCCATACTCCAAGAAGGCTTCGAGAAACTCGAAGAGCTTTGCCTTGCCCGGCATGATCTTTGCCATCATTCGCGGAGAAAGGGCGCTCATTGCGTACACCAGCCAGGGAACAAAGCGGGAGATGTGTGTGAACTCTATGGCGTTCTCAGCAGCATTGCGGACGTCACCGCGGAAGTTTTCGTCCTCAATAAAGTCCCAATCTGTACCGCAGCAGTATGCCGTGATGATGTCGGATGACAGCGCTGAGAAGGCATCGTCAAGGGATACGATGGCCTGGTTAACTCGGGCCACCTCCAAGCGCGTCATGAGCTTCTGCACCCGCTGGTTGATGGAGTCGGACAGTTCCGCGACAGAGCGTCGAGAAAAGAAGTCTTTGAGAATGCCTCGTCGGAAGCGATGCTCATCGTGGCCCACGGCCGCCACCATGCAGCCGGGCAAGGCATATGTAGGGACGTATTTTGGATCCTTGTCTCGCCTCCGGCTGCCCGAGGCGTAGATTTCGTCGTAAAAGTCCGGATCAATAACATGAACTTCTCTTGGGTTGATGCGCACTATGGGACCTGTTTATCATCCCAAGGCAAGGCTTGTTAGTGTGCTCGGTTGCTCAAGGGAAGTTGCCCGAGGCGCCTCACCATATTGTTTGTGCATCTTCTCAATCTCAAACAAGAACTTGCCGGGACGAATGATGTTGTAATAAAACTCGTATAGGTGCGTGCATGCCGTCAGCTTAGGGCCGGGGATATGAGACAGTGGATGAAAATAGAGGCGATATACGGTCCTCAGACTAAGATACACGCCGATGCCAGCAAGGGCGATCCAGAGGCGAGGCACACCCTCCATGATGATGATGGTGCTGCTGCTGTTGGCAATGCCAAGTTAGAGCAAACATCAAGCGGCACTACGGCATTGATAATGGTAAAATCAGGCTGGCGAATCATGCTGGCAGATCAGGCTGGCGAATGAGGCAATGAATACGAGTGCATGTCAAGTGCAGACATGTGGCTAGAGGCCAATAATCTGCACCTAAAGCAGTAGTTTAAAGCACGAGGCGACGAGACCCTCCGCAATGACGCTCGTAATTATGATAGAAAGCGCAGAAGGAGCACTAAGCTGCGTCGACAGCGGCTTGCGAGCAAACCGGGATCCTTTTAAAGATAGTCAGAAGCCAATCATGGTGTTCCGCGTGGATGTGATATCCAGTCCGCCCGACGTTAGACCCCCACGAACAGCAACCAACAGCATACATCACGTAAAACCGACATGAAATCAGGATTCTGGTACCCATTGAACAAAAGCATACATGGGACGATGGCCGAGGCTGACCAATGGAACAAAGAAGAAGAGCCAACTCGCTTCTGCGACCCCCGGCGTAGGTGAGCTGATAACCGTGGGGCCTGTACGGAAGCACCATTCCAATTATAACTGGGAACAGTCCCGCTTGCCAAGATAGCGGTGATAGAAAAGAAGAGATATATAAGTGGCAGTATTCACTTCCAATCAAACGGTAGAAGAGAGATTCAAGCACAAGCAGGCACACATTTATTTCACATTCCTTACTCCGTACAGTGAGGGCGTACCTGAAAGTAATTAAAGCAAGATGCCTAAGCTGGAAGATGGTGGCTACCCTTCTTGGCCTGCAGAAGGCGACTCATATGGGGCTGTTGGGCAGGGTGACATTGACATCACCAACGTCGCCTTGTGTCACGTCTGTAGGATGAGCGTCTGCTGGCAGGACATGAAGATGTGCGTCGGGTGTGCTGCTGGAGTGCAGAGACCCCTCCCCATCAAGTTTCTGAGACAGCTGAGAGAGGAGCTCGCAAAGAGCGACACAACCGTCGTTCTGCGGTGGCTTGACGGGAGGGGAAAGATTGTGCACCACGGACAGGTGGAGCGCGCACCAGCAAACGGTGACAAATCACACAGGGCGGACATGTGTGAGATGCTCTCTCTGTATGTGCTGAAGAACGGTTGGGCCGATTGGGCGTTGGATTTCGCAATCAAGGAGCTGCGCGGGAAGCCGGTGGAGAAGGGACTAGCAGGCGGGTATAAGCGCAGCCGGCCGATCGAGGATGACCGCGGTCCCATAGCGGGTTGGTGCTCTTGCGGCAATCAGAAGCTAGAGTCGTCTGGCCAGGCACAATCCCTGTCCATCGAAGTCGCCATTGGGGCGTTGACGAAGCGACCCAAGTCAGCGAGACAGCAGAAGCCGAGCGCACTGACTCGACAAGCCGGCATCAAGAAACAGTCCAAGCCGGTAAGGAAACAACCCATCGTATCGACTCGACAGCTCAGATCATCGACAAAGCTGCTTGAAGCATCAAACGCAGCCCAAGCCCAAGCCCAAGTCGCCGCAGCAAATGACCCTTCCAAGGAAAAGGCGGTCCGCTCGCGCGCTCCCACCGGAGCGGAGATGGAGCTGGCCTACGAGCGCACCTTGTGGACGGGCGCGACGCCTCAGATCTTTGCCGACGCAATGTGGCTGGCCGGACCTGGCCTTCGCCATATCGAAAAGGAGAGCGGCCAAGCGAGTAAGGAGGTTCCAAAGGGCGCGCGCGGCTCCGTCGAAACCATGATGCTGCATTACTTCTTCATGAACAACCACATCAACACGCTGACCGACGGACTGGAGCTGACGGTGCTCGGAGCCTACCTCACCGCCCTGGACCATGGAAACGTTCGAGACAGCGATTTCACGCCATTCGCCGCCGACATTGCGCGCCATGGAAGCTTGGGCCGGTGGGCGGTCGCCATCACGGAGCTCGTGATCCGATGGCCAACGATCCTGGACTGGCACGCCGGGTGTGTGTCGAGCCTGGGGTTGGTTCGGGGCCTGACGCTACGTGCCTGGGTCTTTGCCGCGCATTGGGACGTCCTGATGCACTACGAACTGGCCAGCGGCCACGATTGGGAGGAGAAGCTGCCATCCTGGCTCTACGTCGCAGCTGCGCTTGGCCACGACGCGGGCGATCTGTGTGCCGATACGCGGATGGGATGCGCCGACAACGCCTACTTCGCCGTGGGGGCCACGTCTGGATATGAGGGTGTGGCCGCCTGCATGGACATTGTGTGCGACGCCCTCGAGGCGGTTGTGCTCCGAGACACGCGCGGCGCCATCGACGTCGGCGCTGTTGCCGGCGCCGCTTGTGCAACGTTTGAGCGGACCGGCGGCGATCTGTGTGCGTGCTCCAATGAGGCTTCGTCGAGGTCGTGCGAGGCCCATTCCGTGCTGGCATCCATCTGCGGCGACCGCCGAATCACCGCCGACGACGCCGCGAGCCTCATCGGCATCCGCGACGGCATCAGATCGCGCTGCCAAGAGCTGCCCCGGTTCCGCGCCCGAGACATGGCGCATCTCAACCACGAGGATCGCGAGAAGGCGTACGGGCACTGTTTCGCGGCCATGGCGACGGGCGGCAGCGGTGCGAAACAGGCGCACACACGCCTACAAGTTGCGTACTCGAGCGCTGCGCAGTCGTTGTGCGGCCAGTTGCGACGAACAGCAGCAGATCTTCGAGCGCTGATTGGCGCCGATGCGCTGAATCTGAGCAACGACTGTATGTGTGGGGGAGAGTGCAGCATGTGGTGAAGTTTGACGTTGAAGTTGAAGATTTGGGGTTCAAGGTTCAAGGTTGTCAGATGCAAGTTGTTCATCTCCAGGGCCCTGTGGCGGGAGCTTGCACGTTTGCAGCTAGGGCAGGCGGCTGATCGACGCCACCAAGGCGGACTGAGGATAGTGTCACGATTAACGAGTTCCTTGTATAAATGAGCGCCTGTACATAGGGAGCATACGTGTAGTTTTTGTTTCTATTTTTGTTTAAAAATTCATCTCTAGTAACCCATGCTGTGAGAGTGCCGGAGCCATCTGAATATTGAATACGGACTACCTTTCGGCGCCGGTGTCGTGTCTGCACGGAAGATGCGGGCTGATCAGGGGTTACAGCTAATGGTTAACCCACGAGTCGGGAGGTGAACGACAATGCTGCATAAGTCGCCAACTTACATCTACATCTATTTTATATATGACTAGAGACTAAGCTAAAAAGTTCAAGGTCATAGTTTCAAATTACCTGCCAACTTCTTATAAAAGCCTCCCACTGACACTCTGAATTCTGCTACTAGCGGCATTCTCGGTTCCGAGTACCTGAATCTTACTGACATTGACTCTAAATGCATATCCAAAACCTATCATTTCTTAATTTCATTTAATTTCTAGATTATACATGTCTATGGGCAATTCTGTAAATAAAGTTCAATTCTTTGGAAATGCCCCGATCGCTTACGGCTGAGAAATCGTCCCTCATTACCACAGAATATCAAATCATGGTGAGTTGATCATCCAAATAGCTTAGGTCGACGGCAGAAGGCTCAATACCAGCGTTTGCAGCATTTCGGTCGATGAAAGCTGCCAGCCACTTTGGATTTTCGTCCGCTATTGAATCGTCAACGACACATCTTCCACACAGGAGCTTGTTCAGTCGAAACTCACCTAGCCAATGTCCGGCTTTTGGCACATATACCGTCTTGACAGAAACTGCCGTCGGTCCCCATAGGCTCTGATTAATTTCATCAGACACCCCACTGGCTTCTCCCCAGAGCACATTCACGGGCACCTGAATAGGGGTTTCTCTAAGCGGCTTGAAATACTCCATCTCGCGCCAGATATTTCCGTTGAGGAACTCGGTCATGGCGCGCAGATATCCTGGCTTTCCCAAAGATGCGGCGTAACGCTCGACGTGATCGGGGGATATGAGAGCGCCGGCCGCATAGGCGCTATGCCAGAAATACCAATTGAGAAATTCCTTCTCGCGTCCGCGGATGAGGAATTCGGCTGCTTCAGGGACGGTAAAGAGGGCCAGGTGCCAGTGACCGTAGAGGTTCCTCGAAGGATCTGGGTTTTGGAAAACTTCATGTCCGTACGCCGGGAGGGCGTATTCTCCAACGCTCAAGGACGCCACGCGATCCGCGTACTTCCATGCGAGCACAGATCCCACGGAAGCACCTTTGTCGTAACCGAATACGGCCACTTTCTCGATACGCAAGAAGTCCAACAGTGCGATAATAGCTTCTGCGGCCGATGCGGAAGTATAGTTGCCCGATTCACTCAGGGTTGACTGGCCCATGCCAGGCAGGTCGGGGGCGATGACTGTATATTTGGACGAAAGCAGTGGGCCTACTTTGTGCCACATGAGCTGCATCATGTTAGTTTTGTGATTCTTTTACACCAATTGAAAGCAAAAGCGAAGGCGGGAAAAGGCAGCTGGACGTACAGAATGTTGCGGACATCCGTGTAATAGCAGAACGGCTGGGCCTGTGCCATCATAGCGGGCGAAAAGGCTTGTGTCGGCCGTCTTGACTCGAATGGAACGCCATTCGTCAAAGGGCAGAGCCACGTTTTGTGTAGACATTGTGAGAATTGTTATCTGTTATCTTATAACTAGATGTAACTATGGATTGAAGATTTTTCTCTCAAGGAAAGGCTTTCGCATCTTATATACATGTTTTGTTTTGTTTTGTTTTTTTGCGATGATTCAATTGACAATATGTCTATACAAGTTGTAGTAGACCCGAATCTTGAGCGCTACAGCTAGGTAAAAATTGGTGGCGCGGAACTTTGGCTAGCCCAGGATGGGATGATGTTGCGCAGTTCGGATCCGAGATTCAAGTGTCTCGTTTTTTCCTTCTGCTTAGCAATCCAATTACCCAAGCATCTACACAGCTTCCACCATGGTCCCAGGCGTCCTCGGAACCGAGTCTGCTCGCAGGCGACAATTCTCCAGCTGCGACTACTGTCGTAAATCGCGTATCGCATGCGACGCGTCTCAATTACAAAGGCACCAGCAAACGACGTCCGGCAGTCCCGACGCTGGTTCGTCGTCATCGCGAGTTCAGTGCACAAACTGTTCGAAGAGAGCTCTGCTGTGCACCTACGAGGTGAGTCTAATCCTTCGCTTGCTAATCACCGAGTTGCCATTCTGATGATGACGATGATTCATCCTAGTGGATTCGGGACCGTGGAAACAGGGATGCAGATGCCAACAGGCCAAGAACTCGCCAGCTCTCTCGTCGTTTGGCAACCGGTCGTTCTAGAAGAGCGGCCACGAGGGCACACGTAGCCAATAGCCCAGAACCTTCTGAAGAGATACAACATGATGTAGTAGGGCTAGCTGCAACGGTAGAGGCTGATGACCATTCCCAGTATGTCCAGACTCTTAACTCTCGGCTGCTGATTATTCACATTCTTATGCTCGGCTTGATAGGATCATACACAGTTCTGAACTATCCCGGCAAACCGAGGCCAGGGTACTGCATGACCATCTATGGACAGTTTTCACTCTGATATTTGAGCCTGTTCTTACTCTCTGGACCGGCCCGGATTGCAGCCCCTATGTGGTGCCTGATCATGTAAGTTGCCTTCTCTGTTCCATAATTAATTCACATTCCACATACTAATTGTGGAAATAGATGTCCAGTCTCACAATGCTGCAGCTAGCTGTTTCCCTTGATTGGGCCAATTGCACCTGCAACACCGATGGCCATGTTCCACACCGTCATCACTGCCCGAGAGGCGATCGCGCCGTCCAACTAGCATTAATCTCATCAGTACATGCGTTCTCTTTCCGCTGGTTACCATTGGTCACGGATACTGCAACCGATAGCCAGCAGCTTTTGTTGCTCGGCGATCGCCTCTGGAACAATGCCAAATCCAGGATCATGGCCGTTTTTGACAAACTCAGCTATCAAACAGCCTTGGCTTTGTATTTGTTCGGATTAACCCCAATTTCCAAGGGAGCTTCTGTGGATGTCGAGAATGCCCACAGCGCTGGCGAGGTCAGCATCGATATGGCGCTTCGTCAAATTCACAGATTAAGAGTAAAACGACGCGATCTCAGGTTTTCCGGTACTGGCCTCTCAGTTGGCAGAAGCGATGGAGAAACCCCCATTAATCACAACTCCGTAAACGAAGATTTTATCCACGCCGAGAATATGATGTACTGGGCTGGTGTGGTGTTTGATACCTCTTCGTCTATGACCAGAGGATGTCCTTCTATTCTCTGCAGTGGCGTGTTTGGATTTGAGGAAGAGCCAGTCTTCCGCCTCATGAAAGCTCGAGTTCAACTATTCCACGAAAGTACAGAGTCATGGAGACAGAACGGATTTGTTCCAACAAGTCAGGCTACACTATATATTGTTCACCGGGCGTCCACCTGGAAAGGATACACCTGGAAAATAATCGGAGCTTTGCGAGAAGCTATAAATCACGGCTACGGAGAAGCTGTCATAACAAGGCTGCAAACACTCATTGCTGAGGCTCTGAATCGCTTCGATAGAACGTTCAAACCCCTCCTTGCAGCCTGTGAGAAGCATATTCTATTTTTCAGTAAAGATGCTCGATTGTGTTATTGTGAGTATAGCAGCCTATAATGGGAGCAAGAGTTTCTAAGCTAACATGTAGTAGACCTTCTTCAAATGCACTATTATATGGGACTATTACTTCTATGCAGCCTAGCTGTATCTATGGAACGCACGGATATGGTTCCAATGTTCGACGCTGTTCGTCGCGACTCTGTTCACGCCATTTTCAGCACAATCAGCTTTGGTCTCAGCTGTCAGGTACCTCTTAGCCAAGACGGGACCCGACACACCCGCAAACTCTCCTCATTGATCAGCTTAGATCCTTATCCACACCATATTCTCGCATCATTGCAGCTGGCTACTCATGTTTTGCTCATCTATCTGAAGCGAGATGAGATAACGCAAGACGCGTTCGATAACTTTTGTCGAATCGTGTTTGATGCGCTCGATGAGCTTCCCCAGTGCTTGCAGTCAGTACAGAGAGTGAAGAAGCTCTTGCATGAGACACTGAGTACCGGTGGTCATCATCTTGATACAGTGCGTGAGCCGGCTGCGAGCGTTTTGAGTACCTCGAGTAGACAGCCCCATCAGCAAAGAACCCGTAACGACCGCCAAACAAATAACGAAACAATGGGTTCTGAGGAGTCAAGTGATGTCATCACCGGTACAAATCAATTGGCTTCTTCTTTTAGCAAGATTGACGAAGCAGGACTTGGCTGTTTAGCAGAAACACTCTTCGCTGGGCCTTCAGTTGTGCTTAGTACGAGATCTTAGATATGAGAACTGCGGAGTGGAATAAAAACAAGTTTGTTTATCGTATGGGCTGATAATTCTATGACTTCCGTTTACAAACAATTACTAATGCTATTTTTTCACTTATTTTATAGCGAGATTAAGATATGCGATGATACACACCTAAGATACTATCTCAGCCGGACTTCCACTGCCGATAATACTGTATTTATCACATAAAGGACCTTTGACTCCGCATTAAGGTAGGAGTTCCGCAGCCAAAATTATTATGGTATCAGAAATCTAGGACGGAGAATTGGTGATTCAATGATTCCGATCAGTTGCACACCAATCAAGCAACGCTTTTGATTCGATAGAAGCCTATTAGCGCTGCACAGATGTTACTCCAGCAAAATGACCGGAGACGAAAAGAAACAACACTTAATAGAAGTCTGTAAGAATTGTTAGAGTAAACAAGTATCCTATCAAACAAGCGTGTACTATTGGCTCGAAATTTCTTCCTATTTAAGTTAACAGTGCTGTTGTCTACGACTGGGGAATGAAACTAATCTCATATCTGACTCGTAGCACGATAACATAGTCTCCAACTACTATTCTACGCTTACACGTACTTTTGTTTCTCATGAATCCTATCCCTATGCGCTAAGAAGCTACATGGAATTTAAGAATGGCCATCAAATAACATCACGTCACTGGCGCAAAACCAGCAAATGATTGAGGTTTATCTCAATTGGGCTACCCCGCAGCGCGTGCCGCTCCGCCCGTCTGAAGGATCACCACGTTATGATCTGGATAAGAGATTGAGTCCCTCGAAAGCAAGAGCTATTTTATCGAGAATGTAATTTATTCTCTCTAAAAGTTCTTCGTTATCCAGGACCGCAAAGAGATATTAGACTATATCGTATCTCATATTTGCTTTCCACAGCAACTCAGACAGTCACCCATCATGTCTGGTCATTATAGCCACAATGGGTATGAATGCCATATTCTCAGCAGGAAGCAAGACTTGGTGTGATTAAATGAGTTCTCATGTTTTATTTAGGTATCTACAGCCAAGTAATGGAGCTGGAGGTGTATATGGCCAATATGACGACAACAGACGTGGGTCGTCATCCCAGCTGAGTTCTCACTCGCAGAGTAGCACCGGAGGTCGACAGCGCAAAGGACTTGTCAGTGGCCTCGTGAGGGGTGTGGCTGCCGGTATTGGGCTCGCCTCTGAAAGTTACCATAATCATCAAGAGAAGAAAAAGGCAAAAGCATCAGCGGCCGCTACCTCCGGGGAAAGCTCGACAGCAGGGGAAAGCTCCAGGGCAATGTACAATGATGAAGCGCATCCAGAAAGTTCGTCAAAGGGATTTTCACATGAGCACGATGACGACGACTCTTCTGAGAGTGAAGAGAATTTCGGCCCAATACATGTTGATCAAAAGACGTCACGAGACTTAGAAGAGGCACAATGGGAACTTGATGCCGCGCAGCAACAATTGGAACCACCACCTGATTATGCTACTGTGATGGAGCAAGACCTTGACGTCCAAGCCATGGCAGATGGTTTCGTTCGAAGACATACGTTGCCGTCAAACCAACAGGTTCAGCAACAGGGATTACCCATGCCGGTTATCATCCCACAACGGCGACCAGGGGAGCGGGCCCGCGGATTCATCCAAGCCTACGCACCGCTGCTCCAAAATGTGGGAATTGACCAGGCGACTTTTATTGACTTTATCAAGCAGCTGAATTTGGCGACGGCGCCATCGCCATGGATCTACGCTATTAATGTGGCAGCTATCGCTGTCCAGAATGTACCTGAGCCCATCACCATTGCCGTTTCTATTGCCGCTCAGGTCACCACTCAAGTTGGTCTTCAAGCGCACAGCCGGTCTAAAACCAATACCTTTTTAAACAAAATGAATGCCGAATTCTTTCGACCACTTGGGCTCGTAGCTGTCCTCATGACATGGAAGCCAAGCCGGGCTGGTGAGATTGTCACGCAATCCAGGTTTGATGAAACACTGGAGCAAGCTACGCAGAATGCTTCAGGTCCTCGACCTGGAATGGGCGGCGGCATTAGCAACAAGATGCAAGCTTCACACGGGACAACAAACTTTGAGTGGCCCGAGTCAGCGCCGCTGGTGTTTCCGACTCTGGACAAGCTTGCCGACTCTGCTGAGGGTAGGCAGGCGGTTGAAGAGGCTGGGAAGAAACAGCCAAACGGTATGAAGCGTAGCATGATATTCGCAATGGAGTATATGGATAAAAGGTCCCAGGCTCAGTGGGCGAATATGCATCCGGAGAGTCGTCTCGCTCAATTAAACGTCAAGCCTGAGTTCCATTCACGTTACGCGGATCCGAACCATCCAGCTAGTAGCGGCAGTCTCTTGGCTTTACTAACAGGCGGTGCTGTTGGTGGCAGAGTCAGCGATCGGAAGCAGGCCAGACGTGATCGGAAGGCCGCTAGACGTGACCGTAGGTCAGAGAGAAGAGAGCAGCGCGGTCCGACAATCCTAAACACCGTTGGACCAGGAGCTCTGATCCGGGGCATCAGGAAAATTATGCATGAGGTTCGTCCAACTTTCCACCTAACCCCCAGTACCATTTATGTTACGGCATACTTGCAAGTTCATGATCTTTCAAATATACAAATAGACTAACGGCTTGGCGAAGGATGTTTTATACCTCATGATTGCGAACTTACCGTCCCCTGAGGAAATGGCAGCAGCACAGCAATTCTTACAAGTACACCCTGTACAAGGCTGATTCACGGAGGTATATACATTGGCCACATATTACATAGTTTAAAGCGCTTTAAATTTACATTATTGTTATTTTCGCTTTAATCTGTGTCTTGCTCCATCAGTCGTGAAGCCATGGATTCATCAAATATGTAGCCAGGGCAGAACAAGACAAGGCAATTCGACACCACGCATGGCCAATATGCACAACAGTCTTATGTTTTGCTCAGCAATAGCTAGCTGCATTCACAATGCGTTCTCTGCAGCGGGTGTCTATTATACTGTAATAATAACCTTGAAAGCCTTGTACTATGGTCGGCGACATAGCTAGACTGTAACTTTGGAATTAATCTGTGATTACGTAGCATGTGGCCTCATTATAATGAAATACATCTCTAAGGGATACTTTAAGTGCGATTTCAAATGGAATATATTGTGTCTGTTGTTGACTAGACTAGTGCATATACGATGTCTATGCGTTTGCGTGAACAGCTCCATTAGTGTCGCCTCACTCAGTCATGCCAATGGGGTCATCTCCAGGCTCTTCGTACGATCTTCTCGGCTTAGAGCCTCGAGTTCTTTCGTCAATGATGTTGGTCTTATCAATAGCCTCCTTATCATCCTGAGCTGCGCCAAATTAACATATGCTCCGTAGTTGTAGACAACAAGATAATAGCTAAAAAAGAAATGAGAAAGGAGGATACCTACCCAATTGCTGATCAGTGTCTGCTGATGATGCTTGAATCGGATCTTCAATTGGAGCACCATCACTTTGCACGGGAATTGACTCATTCCCGCCCGTTACATACGAGTTATCTTGGACTTGTCCCTCTGGAACATTGTCTATTTGCTGCGATGTGTATTCAGACATGGCGTATATTGATGTACTCCAGACGTAAGAAAATTCGGTGTAAAGAAATCAATGTCAGTTGGCTCGGATCGACTATATTTCACGCATACCAGTTGAAAAACATAGTCATATTTATAGTTGTAGCATTGATGTAGGTTGAGTGTCATGACATCACTTGATGTAGATTCATATATGAACATATAACTACCGCTGACGTTGAGAATGAGAACTTTCTAGATTCGCGCCATTGTGGCTTTCAATTTTGATGGCTGTGAAAGCTAATTTCCATCGAATTTCTCGATCTGGATGCATAATCAATGTGTCATGGACAAAGTAAATGGATCGGTATTCACGGATGAGGATTCATGACGGCTTGAGCGTGGCTTCCGCCATGCCCCAACAGGTCTATATATCGAAACTGCATGAACTTTTCCATATCTAAGTTTGGTCCAATATTTCCTTCTTGGTCTTCTTTTCTGTGTTGGCATGTGATTCCGTTCTTGATAGAAAAATGTTGATTTACAAATAAGACTTCTGGAAACAAGTGGCAATATTAGTATTATATCGCCCTGGAAAGAAATACATGACGATTTTGCATAACAGAAGAGACGCATTATGAACAATCCGAGCGTCATACTACACCTATGACAATTTGAAAAGACTTGGATACAAAAAGAAAGAGCAATGATATGGAAGCACGAGTGACCGACCGTTCAATATCTAGCTACTCTCTTAATAACGTGTAAATGTACAAGTATTATCGTTTGCCTCTAGATATAGAAAGCCGTGGCAATGAATATGTTGGCATATTAATATTGTATAATTTTGCGATAAGTTGTTCATGACGGCGATGGCCTCACTTGCGGCGGACTCATTCATCAAAATATCCACCAATAAATATAGTGCGAGCAACATCATAGGGAACTGACAATGCTTTATATGGGAATTACAGCCTTTTACGGACCTCGAAAAGAACAGTCTGCCTATCTAGCTTCATTCCCCACGTCATAAGACATTTTCATGCGCGCTTCTTTCCGCCCATCATCGATTCAACTGTACCCCCCACAGCCCCCTTTGCGGTGAATTGCTCACCAATCATTCCCTCTTTGTCGAAAGGGCCTCCTATTTTTTGGGCCATCCCCCCGACAGCACCCTCCTCTACAATACGCGAGAGCGACGAATAAGTATCACAGTCGGTATCAAAAGAGAGGGGAATTCTGTGTAATCATTGCCAACATACCTGTAAAATGTTGACCAATGGCACCTTCCTTGTCAAACATCTTGGGCTTTGTTTCATTAGCACCCAATTTAGATGTGGTGTCTGAAGCTAGACCCGGATTTTGTTGAGGCTTGGATGACATGGTTGTTTGGTTTCTTTCTGATGCTGCGCAAGTTGGTTTCAACTAGAAAGAAAATGTGATTAGAAACTTTTGAGAGTTACTCGATAAATAGGTGCGTTTGAAACTATTCTAAGTATACCGAGCCGAATCTTATATATAATATTAGTTTGTTGTCATATTAATGTTGAAACAGCGAAGCTCGATGGCGCAAAGCCATGATTCATAAATGACGCACGAGTCCGGCTGAACTTGAAGAGCCATTCTCAATGATGACGCTCGTTACTTCTGCTATAAACTTAACCTGTTGATTGCGGTGCGGTCGATGACGCTTACATTGATCATCTCATTGAAACGATATTTCATGGAATTATCGCTAGTCAATGGTATTTCTCAGTCACATGATATCATCTCAGTGTCAACTAACACGTCGCAAATAACATTGCATTTCCCTGGTATATTCATTACCGTCGTACCGAAAGTCCAGTCCCTCGACTTTTCCGTATAATATACCAAGAATGATTGATGCCATTCTGAGCTCATTGTGCAAGGATAACATCAAGTAATTTATGATTCCTGCCTACACGTTCGTCAAAGTAATTGACTAAGTGATCATTGTGGCTACAGTGTGACGAATACAAGCCTGAACTTGTCAACTCTAGTTATCTCATTAACAGATCCATGTATGGTTGGGTTAACTTTGACTATCGCTGTTAAGCTAGCGTTTTAATTTCTACGTTATTGCTTGCCACATATTGCAAGTGTCAGGTCCTAAGTCTTAGTAGCCTGTAATGGAAAGCCGTACTGCTACATTGATTGAACGAACGTTCGTGCTAAATATCGAACCACCAGCAATGTGCTGCGATTCATCAGCAGTTTCTATCTTATATCTATATCCAAGTACAAGTTCCGTTGAATGTAATCGGGTAAAAGATATACCCGCTAGTCTGTTACTGAGGTATTTTGACAACAAACCGGCCGACAATGTCACCGCGCTTCACTCGTTCGAACAGCTCTCCCGTTTTCGAAAACTCAAATACTTCAACTTTTGGGACCACCTCTTTCTTGCTAGCTGAGATGAGCAAGTCTTTGAGCTGTTTTTCAGACCCTACATGGCAAGCTTTAATAACCAAACCTGTGAACTCACATTAGCATGGCGCTTCTCGTCTACCACACCCTTTTCCTATTAGTATTACTTACCCTTATATTCGAGCTCAGTAGGAGACATTGGGAGGCGATAATCCATTCTGGTAATACCGGCACAGACCATCGTTCCAGTAAATTTCAGATACTTCAGTGCCTGGTCAAAGGCTTCAGTTGCTGCTGGGACAACTATAGCCACGTCGGCACCTTTGCCATTTGTCAATTCCATCACCCTTTTGATAACATCCTCCGTCTTGAAGTCGATAAAGGCGTCTGCTCCAAGTTCGAGGCTGAGTTTTTGCTTAGCCGATCCGGTGTCGATTGCTATTATGTTTAACCGCTTGTGGATCTTCATGTTAGAGGCAAGTTGAAGTCCCAAGTGCCCTAAACCGCCTCCTGATCCAGAGATCACCAAAGTGTCACCATCCGCAAGAGCATCGTCAGATAGGGATAAGGCCCCGACCATGGTGATGCCACCGCAGAGAAACGGGGCGGCGTGGAATGATGATAATTCATCTGGAATAGGCATCAAGTAATCGGCATTTGCGACAACATACTGCTGCATAGTTCCTGGTCTATCAGTGCCGGTATTGAGTTGGTTTATGCACCAGTTATCAAGACCTGCTTCGCAATTGTAACATTGGCCGCACACACTGTAAATCCATCCAAGGCCAACTCTCTGACCAAGAAGAGTATCCGCAGCGCCGGGACCAAGCTGCACAACTTGGCCGATTCCTTCATGACAGGGAACTTCGTCGTAATGGGGGTTGTTTCCCGTATATACGTAAATATCTGAATAGCTGAGGTTCACCAAAAGGCAATATCCAGTCAGTTATCTATATTGAGTATAGTATGAAAGAGCAGATTGATCATGACTCGGTACTTGATTTGTTCTCATGACACACACTCACCAGATTCCCGAGCATTCCATCTTCAGTAAGACTTCATTTTTCCCAGGCTGCGGAACAGGATAGTCATAGCGGATGTCTATCCGTGCATTTGAACCAGGATTCTTGATAAGAGCCGCTGTTTGGACGCTAGGGATTTGTGCGGTCATTTTGGAAATGCCTCTGCAATATTAAAGTACTGATTTGGTGGATGAACTATAGTGATGATTTAGAAGTAAAGCAACACGACTGTTCATTTAAACAAATGCACCTTATTATGAATCATGGTAGACAACATCTATTAATAAGGAGCTGCCAGGATATCCTCGTTGCACTACTCATAAGCAACACGTTTCTAATCAATTCGGAAGCGAGAATTTCGGTCGGTGGGCCGACCGTACCAAGTGCTGGCTGGGTAATTCACCGGATCCGGACAACGATGATAGTGGAAGAGGGTTTGACCGTGATGAGAATTTCGGATCCGAGAGCGACCGCACCATGTGCAGGGCTGGTGCTTACGGCGGGCAACCTGGCATTATGCTTAAGCTACTAAGCCCCTACGCCCAGTTTTAGTGAGCTCATTCCTTCAGCTGTGGTTTACAAATGCAGAAACGAGATGGGACGTTTGTTAACTTCCCGTAACTTGGTTGCTGTTTTGCTCCTTAGGTGGACTAATCATGCACGTATTCTTATGATGACATGTACCGAAAAATCCTGCAATACAGACTAAAGAATGCTCACTTATTACCACTTCTCTCGAATGAGGTAGTTGAGTCGTCTTCTTAGGCAGACTAGAAAATATGACAAGATATAACCTCACAAACATAAACAAGAAGGATTTCTGAAGTTCACAGAAGGGGCCCAAAATGAACAGCTCTCAGCAATAGAATGCGATTGATGAGGGAATATGCAATGAAATGAATCGCTCACGACCAAAGTAGGTGGCTGGCAACTATTCACCTGAGGTCAACTTGAAGCAAGGAGTAGATCTCAGGACGCAGGTTCATGTGACGCTAGTCGCGGAAATAGACCGTGAATTAGTCACGGCCATAGTAGGTGGCTGAAATATGTCTACAGCATTGGGTAGGAATGGTTCCATTACTGTGGAGTTTGAATCGATGGTAAGGATAGTTGGTTATGAGTTGTGAGGATGTCAACTTGCTTGATAAGCTAATTTACGCGCTGTTTGCGTTTCTGGGAACGCCAAATGGACTTCATATGACAAACTTGTACAAGCTGGAATTAAAAATCAAGGAAACTAAATGGCTCACAGAAGCATTAGGATATAAAGAGCCAAATAGCCCGAATCAGATACCTATCCATATCATATACGTCTTTCTTTGTTCTAATCGTATCTCATAATTTCGGAATCTCTATTTCAGTGTGATACTCGACACGATACTTTCTCCCATCAGAATAACAAAAATGGCTTTAAGAATTGCGGTGGCTGGTGCTACTGGAGATTTGGGAGTTCCCATTGTAAATGCTCTCCTAGCAGCAGGCTACCATGTGACAGCCCTTACACGGGGGGGCAGCAATAACGCCTCAAAACTCCCAACCAATTCCAATTTATCCATCACTGAGGTTGACTACTCGTCAGTGCAATCTCTGACAGCTGCTCTCAGAGACCACATAGCCGTCATCTCTACTCTTACTTCTACAGTCGTTGGCGACCAATATCCTCTTATCGACGGTGCTATTGCAGCTGGGGTGACGAGATTCATCCCTTCAGAATTTGGCAGCGATGTCACTCATCCTCTACGCAACGCATTACCTGTGTTTGAAGGCAAAGTCAAGACTCACGAGTATCTCAAGGCCGCTGCGGCTAAGAATCCGGGCTTCACTTACACGGTGATTTGCACCGGAGCCTTCTTGGACTGGGGTCTTCATGGCTTTCTTGTAAATGTTCCTGAGCATACTGCCACTATTTACAATGGCGGCAACATCCCATGCTCGGCTACCAATCTCGATACAATTGGAAAAGCTATCGTCGGAGTTATTCAGCACCTCCCTGAGACAGCTAACCGTCCAGTCTATATTCAGGATACTGTCTTTACTCAAAACTCATTGATTCAGTACGCTCAAGAGAAGGACGGTATTCCATGGAAGCTCACGCATAAATCTACTGAGAAAATGTTTACCAATTCATTTGCGGAAGTGGAAAAGGGAAACAAGGACTGGTCGGTCCTGCAGGATTTTGTTTTTAGCGCTTGTTTTGGAGAGGGATATGGGAGTGATTTCTCCCATCTCTTAGATAACGAGCTTCTAGGAGTGAAGGGCTTGACAGACGCCGAGGTTAGGGCACTTGTAGAGAGCCTGTTGTAATACATGTCAGTCAAATTCAGTATGTGGGTGGAGGGGAAATTGGTTGGTCTATTTCTAGTTGAACGTGTCTATGAAAAGATTAATAGAGGTTACCCCAGTATTATTCATATGTAGCTATTGGGAAAGACTCCGGATGATGAAAATACTCATATTCATCTTAACAAGGCATGTGCGCGGATGCCTGGAAGCTTTTAAATGCTAAATGTCGCCAACCTGATAATTGGTCAAGAGTCTACCTTCTGAAGACTTTGAGACTGGTCTCTTCGAAAGTGTCGGAAATTACAACCATATGCTTCTCAAAACATCGAACTACTATAGTGTTTAATCAATTTTCAGCAATTCATTCGTAAATACAATAAACTTTGTTCTATGTAACTAAGCTGCAGGGCGGGTAAATCTCATGAAAAAGTTCGTGACAAGAGTTGTAGCCGAGATGTGGGTTGGCAAGTCGCCAGCAGCTATTTGAGAAAAGTTGATATCAGGCGAGGCCCAGTCATGCTCTAAACACCGGAAATGTTAGTTAAGGGGACTTATATAGGCAACTTGGAAAGCATGGATCGGATCATACTCTGGTCATCGGTCTTGTAATGCTCCATAACAGCGTCTTGGCCATTGCAAGTCCAGGTGAGGTGATGCACATCGTTGTCAAACAAATCCTCTTGCTGATATTGCGCATCACATTGGTTCCTCTCAGCCCACCGGCTAAGCCTGTATTTTTTTTTTTTCAAGTATTAGCAACCAGCTGAGGCTGGGTTACGAGATTAGAGGTGGCAACTCACCAGTTGGGAATGGATGGCTCGATGCCACCTTCGCCCTCACCACCATCATATTTTACATCAGTGTCCGCGCCTCCGTGGATCTCGAGGATTGGCACAGGCACGCGGGCCGGCTGACAGTCGAGATAATTTGCGTCGTTATTGGTGTAGAAGGAGCCAGACCCAGGCGCAAAAGCAGCAAACTCGCCACCGACAGTAGCATTGCAGGCAATAGTGTCTACGAAGCCTCCGCCGATGGACAAGCCAGTAGCATAGATTCGAGCACTGTCAATACAGAAATTCTGTCTCAAGTCGGCCAGCATGTCCCAAACAAATTGCAGGTCTTGTTCGACTGTTGCTTCAGAATAGTTGGCTCCAGCCCAAGCATCGCCTAGCCCATTTGGATACACCATGATCTTGTCGCTTGTAAATTGCTCAGAATCGAAACCGGTGTCTGCCTCGAAGAAGAGGCCAACGCTGCTGGAGCCATGAAAGCCTAGGATAGTTGGATACTGATTATTCTCATCGTAGCTTGAGGGTACATGGATCCAATAGCTACGGTTATCGCTGCCCGATTGAACATCGCGGGTTTGAGGAATCCCGGTGAATAAGTGACTCTTGCCACAGCCAGACGTATCACCGCCAGTGTACGGCGTATCGGCCGATACACAGGCAGCGGATAGCGCGAGAATACTAAGTATTGTAGCCTTCACCATTGTGGGTGTGTAGATTCCTAACTCGATTGTGGTGATGGGCCGGGCGCTCTACTTCATATATAAACGCACCCATCGCCCTCGCTTCTATCTACCCAGCCTTTGAGGTAATTTTCGGTTCCATCAATACCGGGGGAATTTCCACGTGTCAGGCACAGAGTTCCAACGAGTATACGAGCTACCGAACTAGGCGGATAGAATCCTCATTCAAAGCACCAATTAGGAAGGTATTGGGTTTTCACGAGGCCATCACCGTTCCACGCGCGTTAATCATGCTTTGTAATTTAGACATGGCTGAGACATCTTTTGGCAAATCACCTGCGGCGAATCACGATGTACTGAATTTTCCAGGCTACCACCTAACACAAGGTTCAACCGATTCAAGAAAGTGTTTTTTTTTTCTCAATCAATAGCATTTAATATGTCAAAGTTTATATAATCTTGGGCGGAGTCTTGGCTTTTCCCGTCCAACATTTCGGCTTTTTTCACCGCCACTTGTTTCATATAAATCGAATCACTCGGCGCAATCAGTAGCCCTTTGATTAGCCCGATCACGAAGATATCACAAACGTTTCTTACTCTTATTCGAAAGCATGTGACGTTGAGGCCAATACACGCGCTCTCTGGCCCAGATATGATGTGCAGTATCAGCACATCTTGGACTGTATGCCTGGTTGACTGCACACCATCGCGTGTCGAAGTCATTACAACCGTGTTTGTATTAGGATAACATGCGTATACAGGAGATTTAAATCTCATATTATTCGAGGAGCTAGATTGCTAAGACAATATCTGTAACTACAGATTGAATCCTGTAAGCACCCGTGGCGCCTATGCGTTGGTAATTGTGCAACGCATCATTTACCTCCACTTATTATCCCAGCCAGCCTGCTCAATGACGAAGGCAATAGCAAGCTCAGAAAACCGAGCCATGTGCTGAGACAAAGTTAGCAGATTTGTCCGAATAAGCAGACAAGGAACACCAACCTCAAGGGAGAAAACTCCAGCGTCGTCATCAATGTGCATTGTGTCCTTTTCCGTATGGATATAAGGATCATAGTCGCCGACAGAAGGGTTGCCCTCGGACGCAAAAGCAGCAGGATACCCGAGTTGCGTATAAGACATGTAGTCCGAACCAGCACCACTAACCTCGTTAGCCACGTCGTCATACAAAAAGCGAAGAGCACCAGGAGATCGGGTAGTTCTCAACTTACCTAGGCAGCGTAAAGACGTTGGCAGGGATGGAAATATACTCCTTAGCCAAGTCGGCGGCCCAAGTCGTTAATGGGGCGTCTGCTTCAGTCTCGATGAACCCGATGGACTCAGTCGCGTTTCGGGCAATAAATGCAGTCATGTCCTTGGTGGCGCGTTAATAAAACTTTGATGTAATAACTGACGACAGTGGGATCCAAAATACTCACAAACTCCATCATGGCACCAATACGAGCCCCAGACTCTTTCTTATATCTCGCAACGGCCTGGCTACCCAAGAGCCCGCCCTCCTCGGCGGCGTACCAGTGGAATTCAACAGGTCCATTAACCGGAATGAACCCGCTCTCTGCCAGAACGCGGAAAGCTTCGAGGATGCTTACCGTGCCAGAGCAGTCGTCATCGGCGCCTGGGGAGGGGAGCAGCGGGAACAGATAATTCATAGAGTCTTGGTGCGCGCCGAGAATGGTCAGTGGCAGTGAGAAGTTTCGCACTTTGGGCTCAAAGCGAGCAATGATGGATGATTGAGGGAAAGGATGGGTAAAGAATTCGAGAGAAATGTGGGTGTGGAATGGTGCGTTTTTGATGATCTAGCAACATCGACATTAGTATGGAGAGCCAGATTGGTATCAACACGTTTAGACTGAAGTCTACGGGCAAATTATACCTCGGCAATGTGGTTATAAAGCCATTGCGAGCTTTCCTCACCAGTGACGCTACCAAAATATCGCGTATAATAGCCCGTCATATGTTCAAGAACATCGTGCATCTTCTCAGTAGATACCCGGGGCAGCAATGACTTGACAAGGCGCTGATGCGAAAGTTTGGGCAAATCTACACGAGAAAGTTAGCAACATTGAATAATCGTCAACTAATTGCGTAGGCAGCGCATCCATCCGACTTACGGGCTTCACCAGCGAGCGCATGGACTTGCTCTTTGTAAAACTCTTCATGGTCAGTAATATCGGTAAACTTCTTGTCCTTGCGCTTTAGGCGCAGTTTGTCACCCTCCGTCATCCATTGGGCGCTTGGCTCTCCAAACACGTGAAGGAGACGTGGTTGAGCCAGCTGTTCAGCAGCCTCGGGATGAAGCGAAACGAACGCGTCAACGGGATCTGGATGCTTCTCCAAGGCGGCGAGAATAGCTGGATCAATTTGGTGGTGCTTGGTTGAAGCGGTGAGATGGATTTGCGCGTCTTGGGACGCGGAACAAGCGGCGAAGAAGCTCGCGCTCAAGAGCAGCGAGCTCGTGCAGATCGACTTCAGCATTGCGGTAGAAGAGTCGTCTCAGTACTTGCTGAAACTCGGGAGAGACGGTGTACGAAGGTGTCAATGTACAGTAAGAGCGTCTCACCGTCAAAATATTGTGAGAGCTCAAGTTGAAGCTATATGGATGAGTCTGAATCTGTGAACCTGACACCATCTCAGACCCCACTTCCCACGGCGGAGTTGATCCTACCAGGCTAACTAACCCCGGGTTCTGTACCCCAAGATAAGAGCCGTCGAACAATAAAGAAGTTGTACGTATTCGCCGGAGCCTAAAGAAACATGTAATGAGGAGTAGAACAAAGGCTACAATTCTATCTATGGATTGCACGTGTTGCGCTTGATAGGTAATATGGCGTTACTGTTTTACTTACCCGAGATCGTATATTGTGTTCTTTCCATTGTGATGATAAGCTGGATGACGGAAAAGAGCCGGAGCCGGCGTCATAGTTCTCGGCTGTAGATGAAATCATCTGTTTCGAAGCCACGAGCTTTGAAGGTGTTATTTAGAATTATAACTTTTGGTAACTCTGTAACTAAAATATGATTTCGTACGCGATGTTGTGCTTGTCTCTTATGCTAGATATCGTTCATTGCAAGTGCACGTACATATTCCTGTCAAGTGTAGCCAAATATGCTTCCATAACAGACATCACATTCATCCCAGTGATGCACCATTCAGTACGTTTGATAACAGTGCGCTCACGCATCTCAAGTTTATGACTTATGACTGCCTACGCATATCCGCCATCCCTCATGTTGTTAGCCCTTATATCGACGGGCTCCCACGAATGCATGTATCCTTGCATCCGGCGATTCTGATCGTAGCTTTCTCTTCTGTCAGATATCGTCTGCGTGATGACAGTGGATACTGGAATGACGTGTCTTTCGTCGCCGCGAGGCCATTCATGTAGTTGTTGTTGCGAGGATGATGTCGAAACTTTTGGAAGCTTATATTGATCCTGTTCTTGGTCGCTATTCATAGGCATTTCTTTTCCTTCGTTTGTGATGTATCCTCTTGACCTTGAAGACGAATATCTCGAGCGCAGAAATGACATGGATCGAATTGAAGAGTATAGCCTGCTCTGGGAGAATATTTTCAGCCACCAAGCGTATATACCTGGGGTACAGCTGACAATGATGGTTCCAAAAGTATCGATATATCTATGAGAGATTAGCATAATGCATTTATAACTGAAATTCACAATACTATTATGGACTTACGCGGTGATGGACACATTCGCCCCGTTCCAAGTCGGATCCTTGGAACTTTTGAAGACGACAATTCTATAAGCGAGTCCAACCGAGCTTGTAACAATAATACTAACCATTAAGCCCGTTGTTAGAATTCGGCCCATTGTTCTGCTCAAAAATGACGGGGAGAAGTCTGGGACATACGAGAAGCCAATGAGAAACACGATGATAAGACCGTGTTTCTTTTTCTTATCCATCTTCAAGTTGGAGATGATGGGAAATGGCAGGACAAAGATGGCTATATCAACCACCAAGATGCAAACGCCCACAGCTACAGTCACTGGAGCGCCTGTAGCACATCTGGCCATGAGTTCGCTATTCCAAACATCGTGTCCGTGGGGAACGCAGAGCACAGCAAAGAGTCCTGCATGAGTGATTGAGCCCATAGAGAGCAAGATGAGGAGCACGAAACAAGCATTACGAACCCATCGAAGGCTTCCAAAGATGCGGAGGAAAAATGCCAGGATAGATGCCTTTGCAAGCCAATTGCCTGCAGCACCAAAGAACTGAGATACAACATGCCTCTACAAACGCGGTCATTGTTAGCATCTCCTGTATTACTCTATTTCGATGAATACATACCTTTAGAACCCATGGTGTAATGACGCTCACAGGTAGATCCCATGCATGTTTTCCTAGCCCTCTTCCAAAATCTTATGATGGAGAGTATGAAAGTAAGCGCTGCATTCATGATACCAAGGACAAGATAGAAAGATAGACAATGTGACCAGCTTGACTTACTAGCCGTGAGTAGTCCCCAGTAGACGAGCACAGCTATCTCTGCTCCCAAGCAAAAGCCTGAGAGTTATTGTTAGCAAATATTGTTTGCGTAATAGTAGTTTGACTGATGAATGAACAACTTTATTCTTACAATCGTCAAGGAACAGGCGCCCGACGTTTTTGCAACTCGCATAGATACGAACTGCAACAAAGATGATACTAAGTGAAATGATGACTGCGCCGATGGATAGATTGACGGTTTCCAACGACTGGCCACCTACGAAGTTTGGTGGCCCTCCATCTGGGTTTGGGGATAGTGGTAGCTTTGAAAAGTCAATATCTCCTTGTGGCGTAGCCATTCTGGCAGAACTTTGACAAAGAAATTAACACCCCAGTGTTGCTAAAGCACAGGTATGAAGAAGCTGGATGGAGATAATATTCTCTCTGACGGTTCTGCAATACCAGAAACATGTCCAAGAAGAGCATACATATTGGGGTAGGCCAGAATATCCTAAAAATTACTTTGGCTACCAGCACGCCCCCGTGATGCCGAAAGGAATCTTGGCGTAAGACTCTCTAAGACAGTGTGACACTGCGCCATGCCTCATGGAGTGGGACACTGCATGTATTTCAGACGTCAACCGCGCCTCTTCGTGTTTTGTCTCACTTGAAGTTTGTACGAGGTAAGATTGATCCAAATCCTTCTGTGTGTATGTAAGGGGAAGGGCGGGATTTGGTTGAAGGCAATTTTACTGGGCTTTACCCTGTCATCTTCTGTCCAAAATGGAAGAGATTTACCCACGTAGTAAAAGGACTCAAGGAGGAGCTGAGTGTTACAGCCTTCTTCTAGATATATTTATCTAAATAGCGTAGAAAATCGGCCCGTCATGGACGAATAGGGTTATTTATAGTCAAAATACGAAATACCAATGTGGAATCCAGACCCCATATCCGATTCAAGTGTGCCTTGATGGGAATCTTGAGAGAAACACGTAAGGATCTATCGACGGAATCAGGAACACTCATGTTCCTGATTCCCATTTGGAGGCAGAATCCAGCCTTGCTCGTCTCAGCTGGTTGCCTCTGTGCAGATTTTGATGATGTGTTGTCGTAACGGATGTATCATCTTGTTTGGACATGGCCGATAATGGGGCTCGTTGAATACAGATATAAAAGAAACGTTGAATAGCATCTCTCTGTATCAGATCAAGAATACCCCAGCATTGGTCGTTGTCACTGAGTTATAGCTCGACTAAATCACGATATACACTTTTAGCAAGAATGGATCAAGCATTCTATACTGCTTTCAGTTGCCTCTTTTTAGGCTTACTACTTGTTCCGTCGATATTCATCCGACATGGGACTAGATGGGACTTGAATAAGTCTATCGCTTGGCAATTCATGCAAGGCCTCCTCTCAGCCGCTAAAAAGCGCATTAATGCGTGGCTATTTCTTTTCAGGGGCCCATCTATGATCCAAGAGGAATATGACAAAGTCAGATCATTCTAACTCTACTTATCTTACAATACAGCATGGTAATCTAATGAGAATTTTAGTCTAATGGAGCCCCATTTTGGATCCAAGCTCCCGAGAATCGCTATCTCGTAGTGTCGTCATGGGACCACATCAAAGAAATCGATGCAGCTCCAGAAGATGTCCTATCCCTCCAGGCGGCAGCCAAAGAAATCTTGCAGCCACGATACACGATGCAAAACTTCAATTGGTTTGATAAGAAGGGTGTGGATGGGACGCCACTCGTGAGAACACTTAGAACGCTACTCACGAACCATCTCCCTGACATCTTACCTGATGCTCGTCGGTCAATGTCTGCTCTCTTCGATGGTATCCTTGAGTCACACTCAATGGTAAACGGTAGGATGCCTGAAATCTGAAGTTGATCATCATTGAGTATGCTGATATAATGCAAAGGATCATACACCACTCCGCTATTCCCCATGGTTATAGAGGCCATCGCACTCACAAATGCGGCTGCTTTCTTTGGAAGGGACCTAGGTTCGTAATATTATACGCTGTGAAGGAATTTATAATTAACTATCTATTTCACAGCTTGTAACAAAGTGTTTATGAGCGCCGCCATGAATTTCATTGAGCAGACGCTTATTACAGCGGAAGTCGTACGAGTGCTTCCCAGCGCCATTGCACCGTAAGAGAAAAGACCATATATGGAGAGACATTCGCTGGAACTTCTCTAATGCTGATTTATTAGCCTCATTGGAAACCTTCTAGCAAAAAAGCTGGGTGCTGGTAAAATTATTTACGATGCATTGATCCCTATTGCAGAGGAACGTCTGGAAGAGAAAGCGCGAAAAGCTCTTGGACAAACCGTGCCTGAGCATGTGAGTTTTGCTTGCTTGGGCCACTGGCATACAACTCGTCATGTTTCATTGACTAATAGGCACAATAGCATGATTGCGTCCAATGGGTAATGGAATGCTCGCCTCGATCAAAACCATGGTCTGCAGACCGAATAGTTCACGAGTTAATGGCGCTATGGTTTGGGTCAGTTCATATAACATCAACGGTAAGAGAATGCCCGGTGTGCGTTATGCTTAGGTATGTTAAGCTGATTTTAAAATCGAGTCAGACTGCTTGCTTCGCACTTCATCATCTCTGTATTCACTCCGAGTACATTGAACCCTTGCGAAACGAAATTGAAAGCATCGGGTGGGAAAATTTCGATCAATCGGGAGGTAAAGCCTTTCCACTGCTTGATAGCTTCATGAAAGAATCTGCCCGATTGAATCCGGTAGAGTCAGGTAAATTCTTTTAATACAATACCTTCCATATGCTGCAGAAGTAGAATAGCGACTGATGGCCATCTTAGTTAGCTCTCGTCGCATGGCTCTGAAACCATTCGAGCTATCCGACGGCTCTAGAATCGAGCCTGGCGAATGGATCTGTACAGCTCCTCGAGGAATGATGGCGGATACTCGCTATTATGCGGATCCGCTAAAATTCCAAGGTTTTCGCTTCGTTGATTCGAATTTACTCAACAAGAAGGTTTCTGGAATCTCTGGCGACGGTGTTCCACAAGAAACGCCGTCCAAATTTACAGACATTACCGACTGGCAGCTTTGGGGTACAGGGCGTTCGGCATGGTGAGTAGAGATTTGACTCTCAATCCGAAGCTACAAGACCAACACTGACAAGTAACGATGTGCTAGCCCCGGTCGGTTTTACGCGACCGCTGTCATGAAGACTCTCCTTGCTTTGTTCATTACCAAGTACGACGACATGGAGCTCGAAGATCCCAAGGCTGCCCGATACTTTGCATGGCGCACCTTCGTTTATCCCTTTGCAAGCACTAAAGTGATTCTCCGCCCTCGTTCCGCTGTGTAACCACCTTTTTTTTCTTGTCTTTTTCCTTTCTTTTTTTTGCTCTTCCTTTCTTTGTTCTTTTTTTTTTCCTTTGTTGAAGAATACATGTCGGAACGGGAATTGACGGCTAGATGGTAGTATTTGCAATTGTTTCGAGTGTTGTAACAGACTAGAATAGAGTCCAATCAAATTTTATAGACGTCGCATTTGTAAAACGCTGATGCATTGATCACATGGTTCTTTCGGTGCCGCATACCAAAGGGCGGAGTAAGTGACACAAAATGGTTGGCTCGAGTGAAACATGTGCCAAGTGCCCATAGGATGCGATGATCCTACCTCGACGGGCCAACAACACAAATGCCGTTTGCGTGTGTACTGACTGCACATGTCAGCCCGCCCTTTGTGAGACAACGCAGGCTTCAGTCGCTTTTTAAAGTATTGACGCTTTTTCTCCAGCCACAATCCTCCTCTTCTCTCTTCCATCCACTGATTTCTACCCTCTTAGCGTCGTGGGTAGGACAATATTCCCTTCATCCATTCAGATCGACAATATCACACCGATATAATGTTCGAGCACTTTGAGTTACGGCACATTATGCCGCTCTTGGTCGCATCTGCCACGACGTTTGGTGGCCTCTGGCCTTTCTGGTCGCCGAAAAACGCCATGCTCGAGTTTGGTCTGCCCGAGAGCATTGCCGACGCCCCTGCTGCACAGCCCGTCATGGTGCTTTGCTCAGCACGCACCACCGCTCTCGGCATGCTCATGTTTATCTTCTACCAACAGCAGAAACTTGCGGCTGTGGATACTGTCATGGCTGTTATGGGTGCCTATCTGGGCATCGTGGATGGTTACGTGTGCTGGAAGGAAGGAATGCCAGGCAAGGCTGTGTTTCGTTGTGTCTCGGGAATGGTGATCGCGGGATGGGGATTGATTGGGCTGACGGAGACGGGCTTCTAAAGTGGCAAACGGGTATCTGTGAAGCTCCCGATGCCCCTGTCCAAAGTCTATCTGACGATTGGCGTAGTCTACGGAGGAACTACTGGATGGAATTGGGGGCTAGTTGAATAAAAAGGGCGCCGTCACACGACTAGCCCGCTCATCTCCCCGACATGCCATGATGGATGGAGACTGACTGCGTGATTTGAGACATGGATGAGAGATCGGCATCCATGTGGACTAGCACGTATGGCTGAGCTTGTTGGAATGTCTCTGATAATGAAAGGGATTAGACGTTTCGTTTCATTAAACCGCCTGCCCACGTAGTCCATGGACCGCGTGGAAAGTCGTAAATTGTGCAGAATAGATTGCTTGGAAGAATACAAGGCCTTATTACTAACATGTTGTCTATCACATATAATAAGGGTGCAACAAACTGTGGCCAACGCGCACACTTGGGCGAGTCAGGAGAGCACAGGTTTCGGGAGTTTGAGCGAAAAGCCGACCGCGTTCTGAACTGTAACTATTCATGCCATAATTATTATTAACTCATACAAAAGGTCAGCATCGGGTGAGCTACTGGCTATCATCTGGTAGGCAGTGATCCGTCTGTGTTGTATTATCCGGCCTCAGATCACAGAGTGTCTTCTACATGCCGTCACAATGGGCGCCATAGAACTGGCCGCAATATCGTCAGATACAGATGCACAATCTCAACAAGTTCAACCCCAGTCTCCAGAAAAGGATAACGAGGATGTTCGAGTTGATGAGCCGGGGAAATTCCAGCACTCATGGAGACTGTGGTGTGTCTTTATTGTTCTTTGTTTACTATCATTCATCTCTGCCATTGATGCCACCATCGTCACCACTTCGCTGCCAACAATCACACGCGACATTGGCGGCAGCCAAGATTATGTTTGGGTCGTCAACTCGTTCCTCTTCACGTCTACAGTTCCGCAGCCGCTCTTTGGCCAGATCTCGGACATCTTTGGCCGCCGAAATCCCATGATTGTCGCCATTGCTCTTTTTGGCCTTGGTAGTGGGCTTGCCGGTGGCGCTCAAAATCCCGGGATGCTCATTGCAGCTCGAACCATACAAGGCCTTGGTTCGGGTGGATTGTATGTGCTTTCGGATATAATTGTATGCGACATGGTCCCCCCTCGTCACCGTGGCCCCTACCTGAGCGCCATCCTCTCGACAGCAGCTATCGGAACGACTATTGGGCCCATCATCGGTGGTGCTTTGGCGCTGAAGAATTGGAGATGGATATTTTGGCTAAATCTACCGGCTGCGGCCATAGGATTGCTTGCCATTGTCCTTATCCTCAACGTCAAGTATACGCGCAGCCCGTCGTGGCGCCATGCCCTTTCTCGAGTCGACTTCCTTGGCAACATCATCTTTGTGCCATCCATGGTCAGCATATTCTTCGGTCTGATCATGGGCGGCACTCATGGGTATCCTTGGAGATCTTGGAAGATCATCGTGCCTCTTATTCTCGGGGTTCTTGGTTGGATCACATTCCATGTACACCAGGCCTCGCCAGTTTGCCGAGAACCAAGCATGCCGCCTCGACTGTTTAAACACCGCACATCATCTGGGGGATTCATTATCATTTTTCTAGGAGCAGTCATACTCCAAGCTATCAACTATTTCTTGCCCATCTACTTTCAGGGAGTCAAGGGAGCCACGCCACTAATGTCAGGAGTATATTTCCTAGCTTTTGCTCTGGCCATCATGCCTTTTGGTGGAATGGCTGGAGCTTTCATGTCCAAGACTGGCTTTTACATACCTCTACATTGGCTAGGCTTTGCCCTCAGCGCCATCGGTGTCGGATTATTCTTGACATTAGATGAATCTTCCAGCCGAGCAGCGTGGATTGGCTACCAAGTCCTTGCTTCAGGTGGCACTGGAATCATCTTCACGGCCACGCTACCTTCCACATTAGCAGCGCTCTCCGAGTCAGACGTGGCTGTTGCTACAGGCACATATTCATTCGTGCGTTCATTTGGCCTGGTCTGGGGAGCTACTATGGCATCAATAGCTTTCAATGGCCAAATAAACGCACATGCCGCTTCCATAAGTAACCAGGAAATACGCAACTTGCTTGTAGACGGAGGCGCATACGCATATGCTGCTGTACAAAATGGCGGTATAGCCGAATTACCAGACCCTACCCGAAGCCAGGTTATCGTCGTCTATGTGAAAGCTTTGAGAGTCGTGTGGTGGATTGTCACGGCTATCTCAGTCCTAGGCTTTTTTGTCACCTTTATTGAGAAGCATGTTGAGCTTCGGAGGAGTCACTCAACAGAGTATGGGCTTTCAGAGGAGGATAATGCAGGGGATGGGCGTCAGACTTTAGTTCCAGATGCAAGGGAAAGAGTATGACGACGGGTGAAAGAACAGAACATGGGAAGATGGTGGAGAATAGAATTGATATAATAACATAATGAAGAAATTATACAGGGGGTGCCTTATACAATTTCGATTTACAAGTACGCATATGTCCTTTCGCACAAGCTGAACTCCTAAATGAGCTGCTGCCGAATCAATAGAGAGAACGGCTGGCTACCGGCGGTTATACGAACCTGGAGCTAGCGTTCCTGGCTGCTTGAAAGGTTAAATGCGTGCGCTCTTTTTATTAAAACGGCATTTGATGGTTTTAGGTGCCTCTGGGCACCATTGGCTTTAGGATTACACCCGGGGTGATAGAGTCCCAATTGAGCATTACATCCGATCGTATTTGATCTGATGCCAGCTGAATCATATGTAGAATGTTAATGCTTGGAGAGAAATAAAGAGGTAGTCTCCAGCGACATGCTTACTGGAGGATCTATCTTCAAATTGTACCCGCAGGCTTTCGTCATCTGTCTTTGGCAGCCTCGCAGTAGTACTTCCAGGGTCTATATTTGATAGGCTTTCAAAGAGCCCATGTGACATTAGTACATTTTCATTGGGCCATTTCTGTATGCATGTACGCCCATTATGGAGATCTAGAGTCTCGTCCTCGGTCATCGATGCGGCTCGATTCGACACACACGGAAGCTTGACGTTCCAAGATGTCCAGCGCAACACCGATATGATGCATTCAATCGTGTCATTCTAAAACGATTGGATGGACATTTACAGGCTCATGCACACTGTTGTAATACGTCATCCATCTCTGGGCCCGATATGGGGCGGCCCTCGACATCTCCGTGGGACACATTGCGGCTGACTGTCGGGAGAACTTTTTCTTGGTCCACGTATTCATGTCAAGCCCCCCTGCGTGACGAGCAATTCCAATGTCGTTCAAAAATTGGGTTATCGGGCATAAGGTTCGCATGAGACATTGTGCAAAAGCTAGAGGCTTGTACTGCGGCTCAAGGGTAGTGTGACTACTTCCCACATTCTCGGGATCAACAACACTGCTGTCAACTCCATCTATTTCCTGCAGTCTACGGCTCGGTCCAAGTTGTACCTAATATTATCTTGAGAGCGGAATCGAGATGGAGACTCAAAGACATGCTGAGCGTAGAAATTTGGTCCACATGGCCTTTGCATCCATAATATTTATAGAGGCGTAGGTTCCTTCTCGAGTTTCAATACATCCCAAGGGCACAATTTTCATTCCGCCAAACCCAACCACTATGGCCCAATTACAATACACCCATGAAGATTACACCATCGGGTGGGTTTGCGCATTACCGAATGAGCAAGCAGCTGCAATCTTCATGTTGGACGAGAGACATGAAGACCTCGTTAACCCATCAAACGATCAGAATGCATACACTCTCGGAAGCATCGGGAAGCACAAAGTTGTTATCGCTGGCCTACCCAAGGGACGGCATGGCAATAACAGCTCAGCAACAGTCGCAACCCGAATGATATCTACTTTCCCAAACATTAGGGTCGGCCTAATGGTTGGAATTGGTGGAGGCATTCCAGAGAAGACTCGGCTCGGCGATGTGGTCATTAGCTGCCCAAGTGGTACGGAGCCGGGTGTCGTCCAGTGGGATATGGGTAAAGCAGAACATGGCGGCCAATTCAAGAGAACTGGGTCACTGGCTCCTCCACCAACTGCTTTACTCACGGCTTTGGGAAAATTTGAGGCTGATCAGATTACATCAAGGGCGAAGATGCTCAGCTACCTGAATGGTTTGAAGAGTATGCCCACCGTCCCAAGAAGTTTTCTGAAGTCGGACTCTCTCAAGGATGTCTTGTTCGACTCCAAATATGCCCATGTGGAAGGAGAAGACTGCAGTCGATGCGATGAGAAGATGTTGGTGCAGAGAAAGATGAGAGAAGATGACATGGTGATCCATTGCGGTCTAATTGCGTCAGGCAACCAAGTGATCAAGGATGCAATTCTTCGAGATAAGCTGCATCGGATGTTTGACAAGAATGTCTTTTGTGTTGAGATGGAAGCTGCGGGCTTAATGAATGACTTTCCTTGCATTGTCATCCGAGGGATCTGTGACTACGCCGATTCCCATAAGAATGATAATTGGCAAGATTATGCCGCAGCCGTTGCAGCATCATGTGCAAAGGCATTCCTAGCGGTTGTGCCAGCGAGTGAGGTAGATAAGCTTCAGCGAGTCCAAGGTATGTTATATTTTGAGAGAAATCTTTGGCTACCTAGATTATGAGTGTAACTAACCTCTTCTACTAGTATCAATCACTCCAAGTGTTATTACCGGCGCAAAGTCTTTGGTAACAGGATGGTGGGGTAGCAAGCAAAACACCCTCTCTGTACCAGGTATGCCAATACCGTACTGGGCATCTCTCACTCCAACTAACGATGTCATAGGCACAAGTTCGCCTGCCAATGAGCCTGAAGATACTGGACAAGACGAGGTCCAAAAGACTCCATCACTTGGAACAACTCCGTCATCAGATACAAACGTTTCATCGACAAATACAGATGTAGATTCCACATCTACAGAGGCTAACTCTGGTTCGAAGTCAAGAGAAACCAGCCCGGACAGGAGTGTACCTACGCCAACATGTCTAGAATCATTGCTCCAAGAAACTCCGGCATTGCTAGCAAAGATAGTCCAGGGAGGACAAGTTGAAAGCGCGATAGATGCTTTGATCACGAGTCTAAGCAAGCTGAAGGCGCCGCAAGGAGATATAAGCCCGCCACAAAAGAATGTGCCACCAAATGTTGTGCCGCAAGGCCCTGGCTGGAACATTTTCCCACAAACACCGCCTATGTCACCACAAAATAACGTTTGGACTTCCGGCGCGAATAACGGGTATGTGCAAGATACTCACGGGATTGGTTCAAGGAACGGAACCTGTACTCCAGCACAACCACCTCGAAGCCAAACATGGACTCCCAGCGGAGACAATGTGTACCTGCAAGATCATCGCAGCCATGGTTCAAGAAGAGGTAGCTACATTCCATCACAACCTTGGACCGCATACGAGCACGGAAATGCGCCTCCCTCCTCTTATCGTTCCCAAGGCGAGTCTGATAATCCAGGTTTTATTCGGAGTCAAACATACCCTAGTGATCCACGCTTCAACCAGCATTCAGCCTACCAATCAACACAGTATCCGAAGTATGGGCGCAATGCATACGATGTCAATTACATGGCATTGCAAACGAACTACTACCCAAATGCACCACCGCTGCCTCCAAGGTCTCAAGACAGTTCGGCACGAGGTGGGTATTACGAGGGTACCCGACAGCAGGAATACAATGCTCGAATGAACGCACCAGGATATGCTCCGGATTTAAGCACCAACGGTCATCAATTCGCGGGACCTCAGAGACAGACGAGGTACTCAGAGTTGCCTACTATTAATGATATAACCCAACAACAGGACAGTGCCAACCTCAATCCAGGCCGAGGATATCCTAGCACGAACCATTCAAGTATAGACCACAATCGATGGAATGAGATTCTCAACGGAGGATTATTCTCGAAGATTCAGAAAGGAGATGCTGCCGCTGTGAAAAGACTCTTGGAGCAAGGCGCTGATATTGAGAAGACTAACGGTGATGGGCTTACTCCGCTTTGGTGTGCAGTACAGCTTGGGAAACGCGACGTTATCCAGGTACTCCTCGATAAGAAGGCGGATGTTGAGTCGCTTAATACTCGCGGTCAGAATATTTTGGAGTGGGCTGTGGAAAATCGCCGGCAGGACGTTATTGATATTTTATTGCCGTGAAGATGTATTTCAGTTGTTTTCGGAAAATGGATATAGTTGGACTGATGTCGTTTTAAAAGCAAGCTTTGTAACTAATAAGGTAGAATTCACTACTTCATGCGGACTATATTCTCCCAGCTATAACAAGATCATACATCGCTGAACATATAATTATATTGAGATCAATATTGTGTACCTAGTCGTTGAGATGGGTCTTAGACAGCGGCCCTAGAGGTGAATACATACAACACAGTGGCGTCAAAAGTCAAGGTCCAATTACTGCGATAGGCATGGTGTGAGGCTCTTGTTAAGCATCGATTTGATCCTTATGAGGCTAAAGCGTCAAGCCCAAAAGTAACGTTGAAGGTAAGGATGGAAGGGGTTGGCGCTAAACTACTACTTTACTTACTTGCAATCATTCAATTTACGAGCCAGAGCTCAATATGAAGATGTATACTGAGAGATGGCTTGAGTTTTGCCTTAGATAGTGAAGCCTATGGAGACATTTGCCTACTTGTTTAGCCATACTTGGCCCATGCGGTGTCTCGTAGCTGAGAATGCAATGCCATGAAGCACGAGTGGTGTAATCAAGGTACAAGTAGCCGATATATAACTAGCATGTATATAAAGGTGGTGGATTCTCCGATCGTATCTACCTGCAGAGAGAATATAATGGTATTCGGCCGTAGCTCAAGCAGCCATATCTCCACTGAAATATAAAGTTCCAATAACGAGCGCGTGGGCGGCCTCCTATTAACTTTTTATGTGGGCGAAAAATGAGCCCAAAATATCTCGGCCATCGTTATCTCGACTATTAGCATTAGGCTTTTGTCATATATACGAGTATCAAATGATATTTTACATTTCTCCGTCTGCTGAAAAGCCAAATGAGGGGTCGTGGCACACGATAGGCAGTCAATCGCTTTCATGCCGGTGAGAGCTAGAGCAGGCAGCCTTGCAGTGCATCGTTACACGTAGAGCTGGCGGTACTTGAATGGTTCAATGCTGCCTCGTGGGGCTCTATCCAAGACAATTTACTCCAAGATGACTCGTATTCGACAAAGGATTTGTTCTTTGTTCGATTGGCTTGCGTTCCGTCACCGAGACTTTCAGCCACACGAGTCAGTTTGTTTGCAGACTTGGGTATTTCTGCCCAAAGGGACTGAGGGCTGCCAAATGGTAGTAATTAGGTAAAATGGATGTGCACATCAACGGACATATGTTTTGTAACACGGTACTGCCCCTCGATTCGATAAATCTCGTAGATGCCTTGAATGTCCTTTGTGATTGTTCGTATGCCACATGCAAGCCATAGCATCGCTCACAGAAGGCAGTTTGTGAGGTAGCTGACACTTTCTTCCTACTCACCGAGGCATTTATGTACATAGGCTGCCAGCCCAAACTTTACAGACTTTGGCACTGTCCTGGTATTCGCTCGCATAGCCCTTGATACGTGTACTTTCAATGCTTCCCCCGCGTCAACCACCTTCAATCTCATCTAATTCAGAAGACACCTCCAACGGAACGTCTCCGGTAACACCCCTCTCAGATGACCAGCAGCAGCAAAACGATAGCGACGATTCAATGACTCGATCAAATCGCCGAAAGCGCGAAAGCCCAAAGGAGAAGATACTCTCCGAGGTGAGGGGGTTGGTAGGGCTGAAAGAAGTCAAAGAACAGTTTGACAATATCGAGAGCTGCATTCGCATATGCCACCTCCAGCAAACAAATCCCGGAGCAGAGCGTTGGCATGCTGTTTTCCAGGGAAATCCAGGAACGGGTAAGTCTCTGCTTATTATTCCAGCTTCTAGCTGAAAAGGGTGTTGACGCTACTATCGAAGGGAAAACCACTGTTGCTCGACTATATGCGAAATTCCTGCGATGCATGCGCATCGTCAAATCGCGAACATATAAAGAGACCTCTGGAGCACAACTCGTGTGTATGGGACCGAATGGGGTCAAAGAACTGTTTGAGCTATCTGGTAACAACATGGTTCAGAGGTTGAGAGCTCAACAGATGCAAGCGTACCGCGACAGCCACCCCGATAACGAAGACGAAGACGAAGACGATGATCCAGCGTCGTTCAAACGCGCCAGCTCTTCGCTGGAGCCTGGCTGTCTATCGGATGGAGGTGTTTTGTTTGTGGATGAGGCATACCAACTCACAGCTCCACATGTACCAAGTTCCGGGCGTCAAGTTCTCGATATCATCCTCACAGAGATTGAGAACAATATTGGCAATCTAGTTGTCATATTCGCGGGATATAAAGAGGAGCTGGAATCTTTTTTCGGACACAATCCAGGACTACAGAGTCGAATACCACATACCCTGCAATTTGAGGATTTTAACGACCAAGAATTGCTACACATTCTCGCCAATCGGATTCAGAAAAAATACAACAATAAGATGAATGCTGAAGATGGACTGTATGGAAAGTTCATGAGGATAGCTATCCGTCGACTAGCCCGCGGCCGAGGGAAGAAAGGATTTGGCAACGCTCGTGCTGTGGATAACGTCTTACTCAAAATATGGGAGCGACAAGCTAAGCGACTATCCAAGTATAAGGGTTTAACGCAGAGTCAGGTTTTCACATTTACGAGAGAAGACATACTGGGGCCAAATCCTGCCGACGTGAGACTTACAAGCGCAGCTTGGGCTAAACTTCAACAGCTTACTGGACTGGAGGAAGTCAAAAAGTCGATTAATAACATGTTCGAGGCGCTTGTGATGAATTACCAACGAGAAATGGCCGAACAAGCACCATTGATCTTTTCATTGAATAGGATCTTTGTCGGATCACCAGGTACAGGCAAAACAAGTGTTGCCAAATTGTACGGCCAGATATTGGTTGACTTGGGCTTACTTAGTAATGGCGAGGGTAGGTATACGTATCGTCTCTGCTACTTTGCTTTATTATTTCATGATTCTCGGGTATGACTAACGTACTTTGACAGTGGTTACCAAGAATCCTGCAGATTTTATCGGAGAGGCTGTCGGGAAATCAGAAGCAAACACCAAGTCTATCCTGGCTGCAACGGTCGGCAAAGTCCTCATCATTGACGAGGCCTATATGTTAGATCCAGGAGAGGCGTCTAAGCGCGGTGATACATACAGAGCCTCTGTGCTTGATACACTGGTTGCTGAAGTGCAAAGTGTACCCGGAGAAGATCGCTGTGTGATTCTTCTCGGATATGAAGATAGGCTAAAGGAGATGTTTCGCAACGCCAACCCAGGACTCCCCGGGAGATTTGCCGCAGACAAACCATTTCGGTTCGAAGACTTTACCACAACGCAACTTTGGGATATATTGAATAAGAAATTAGTGTCTCGAAACTTACAGGCAACGAAAGAAGGATTAGCGACCGCGATAGACGTCTTGAATCGATCCCGAATGCGCCAAGGCTTTAGCAATGGAAGAGAAGTGGATATTATTCTGTCTTCAGCAATGGAAAACCACTTACAAAAGCATTCGAAGACAAATGGGTCTACTTATGGCCATGATATGATCCTAGCTCCAGAGGATTTTGATCCAGACTACGGCCGAGCCAGATATGCGGCAACTAATTGCCGGGCCGCCCTACAAAATCAGGTATCGAATTCCATCATCAGTCAATTGGAAGAATACCAGCGACTACTCAATATTACTAAACTACGAGGGGTTGGTGGTGCTTCTCTTGTCCCAACCTCATTCGTCTTTAAGGGACCGTCAGGTACGTTACACAGCTACACTCATTTTCACAAGCCATAAGTTGTTTCAGCAGCTCATAGATAGACGAGAAGAAGAGATGCTAATCTATACATGACCGTAGGTACTGGAAAGACAACAGTTGCTCGATATATGGGCGCTTTATTATACGACCTAGGGCTCATTGCCACCAAGACATTCGTCGAGTGCTCTGCGTCAGACTTTATTGGCGAGCACGTCGGTCATACAGCTCCCAAGACCAGAGCACAATTTGAAAAGGGCCTGGGAGGGGTACTATTTATCGACCATGCCCATCAACTTAACCAGGGCGGATACGGTACCGAAGCGATTAATGAGTTCGTCCGTCTTCTTCAGAAGCACAGCGGGAAAATCGTCATCATTCTAGCGGGCCCTTCTGAGGAGATCGAGTCGCTCATGGCAAAAGCACACGGGCTCGATAGCTCCTTTTTTAAGGAAATACTCTTTCAAGAGCTCACGGCCCAAGAATGCATGGCTTTCCTAATGAGAATACTAAGTGAAAATGGAATCAACGACTGTTTCTCCTCCAATCAAGAGGTCCAGCAAATTTTCACAAATCAGTTCGGAATACTGTCAAACTCAACTCATTGGAAGAACGCCAGCGACGTGAAATCATTGTCACAGTGGATGGTCATGGATGCTCTGACAAATTGGATCCCTCAAGGACAAGGCAGCATAGGGCCCTGTCTCTCAATCGAGAGGGCAAATTATTACTTCCAGAAAATGTTCGACAAGAAGACAGCCATGCAAATGAGCGACCTTAACAATTTAATGGGACTCTTCCGCCAAGCGGACTCTGCTCACATGGCGAACAGTTTCCACCACATGTCAGAGGACAAGCTAGAGGCCAAAGTTGAAGCCACGGTTAATACACAAGCTGTACACGCAGCCACAGACATGAAGGTTTCAGTAGACGTGGAAAAGACAGCGCATGTGGCTTACGATGAGCAGCAGGACAAAGTCAAATCTTTACAAGAAGCTCTGAAGTTGATAGGTCAATGCGAGGCGGGTTATGACTGGGTTAGAGATGGAAGCGGCTACAGGTGCAAGGGTGGAAGTCATTATGTGACTGACGAGCAGATACAATCTTATTCCTCATGATGTTATCTATTGGCTCGGGCTGAGGTATAGCCCATTTACTTGTGTACTACAACACTCGATAGTTCTCGAAATTCGTCGTATTCTCCCACAGCAATTCATTCATTCAGCTATCTGCTTATATCATCCATGTACAGAAGTTGCAGGTCATAGCTATCATTCTATTGTCAAGAGCAAATAAAGCGTGACCTGATGTTTCAGGAAAAATACGTTTTTAGTCCCGCCATATTTACCAGCAGATCTCTAATACTGAGCCTCCCGCGATCATACGTAATTGGAGTTCCGGGACATTCTCATCCCTGGTTGCATGGTATAGATCTGCCGACGCAGTAACGGCTACATTCACCATAAGCATGCATGAAACTTCACCAACTCTTGTTACCCACAGATCGAGTATCGTACCAGTCATGAGAAATAGAAAAGTCCAGCGTAATATTTTCATCATTCTTTGTATTATATGTAAAGAGCTCACTTCTTCGCACTGAGACTTTAAGAGAGGCCAACTACCTCGTAGTTCCAATTGCAAGTAGCGTTGGAGCTCTGAGCCGATACTTGCTTTGTGCCCGTGGCTGAGGCAACCACAGAGCCAGCACTATTCACAACCTGTATGTATTGTCCACTCCCAACAGTCAACCCAGGAACAGCACCATAGTTAAGGCCCGAAGCGCCAGCAAAACTACCAATTTGTTTGTTATTGCTATACACTTTGATCGTGTACCCATTCGATGGCAATAAGACGGCATAGTTAATCGTGTCTTGGCCCTGCTGATAGTTCTGAATCGACGGTGAACAGCTGGCGCTCTTAAGCAACGTGCGATACCACAGTGAACCGACTGGCGTCGATCCAGGAGGCAAAATTTGACTTCCACTGGTTGCTGCTCCAGATTTGTATGCCTTAATAAAAGGTGTCACAAGTTGCTGCCATCCAGTGTGGTCGAAGCCATTGGCATAGTCACCAATAGTTGAGCCTGCAATCTGTTCCTGGAAGAAGTTACCGATATAATGGCCTTCTCCTGCGTCGTTCCATGTGATTAGTTCCACGAGATCCGGTTTCAGTGATAGTACCTGCTCAAACCGCTGCGGTAGGTTGACTTCACCAATGCGATACCAGTCTTGGCCTGAGCCAAGATACTTGAACTGGAAACTAGACACGGCTATAGAACAGGCAGCAAATTAGCGGTTGTACTGAAGAGGAAGAGCGGTTAACATAAGAACAGCAGGGGTCTCTCACGCATCATGAATATTTTTTTCGCAGCTTGTGCCTGTTGGAGGAGATTCTGGTCATCGCTGCTAGAAACGTTAGAGATAGTGGTACCTGGAGCGGGCCATGCCGACTCCCAACTAAAGGCGCCGTCAACGACGGGATAATTCGAAAAGAAGTTGTTCGGCCACCCGCTCCAGTCACCAAAATTGGGAACGAAGTAGGGGGTGATGCCCTGGGAGACAAGAGGCTGTTGAAATCCTGACGTCCAGTCGGAATTCGAGATATAGCCACCATCATAAGTGCTGACAAACGGTCGACCAGAGATGGTGTAATACGACGGACGAGAAATATAGCTGCGCAGAAAAGACGGAATCTGCGAGGGTGTAATAGCACGCCAGCTCATGTCAAACGAGATAAACAGCTTGAAGCCGTTCTGATCTGCCGCGTCAAATAGATATCCCAACGCATTCAGTGCCCAAGAAGACGTGATGTCGTGTGTATTTAGCGCAAAAGCATCGAAGCCTACTGCCTTTGCATCTTTGACATCTTGAACCGCTTCTGCTTGAGTCATGCTTCCAACCATGTAGTGTGCGAATCTGTGGGATACGGGAACCGCGGTATTAGCATTGAGAAATTGCCTTTAAATGGTCTATTGAACGAGCATCTTCACTTACACCGCTCTCGGTACTATACTTCCTGTCGGTCCACTTGATACAGTTGACTTTGTAGAAGTAGATCCAGTTGTTGTCTGAGCAACTGAGGAGCTAGATTTTGTTGTCTGAGAGACTGAGGTAGTGGATTTTGTTGAAGAAGCCGATGTGACAGGACTGCCTGTTCCTCTGCTGACCTATATCATGTCATAGTAATATTAATATGATGAAACCGTCACAGGATTCAACCCTCTTACCAATGAAGCCGTAGAGTATCCAGACGGGACCGTAGTCCCACAAATGCCGGCTACAGATCCTCCATTGACAAATGCTCCGGTCAGACCGACTTCGCAACAGAATCCGTTGCCGAAACTTCCTGTCCATAAGGACCAGGCTGAACTCGCGCAACTGGGGGCACCTTCGACGCTGCCTCTACAATTGCTTGCTGCTCATAGAGATCCATTATCAGTTCACTATTGTAAACTCTTATGCATACTACTCACTTGTAGGACAGCAAGCCTCCACTTCGCCATTCCCAGTCGATTGACAATGTGACGTCGAAGGACAGCAAGACCCGTTTCCGCACGACTGGGTATCGGAAGGGCACGACCCCGATTGCAAGGACCAGCCTTGGCCGGCGACAGCCCGGAGTTGAAGAGGCGAGAAGGCGACCGACAGGACCGGGGACGAAAGAACTCCGACAACAACGAGGGGAGCGGATGCCCTCATGGTTGCTAATATGCGGCAGGCGCCAGGGACTCCAAGGAATCTACAGTATGAAGTTTACAAGAGTCACCAGATGTTGTGGGTTACATTCATACTATCCACGCAGATATTCAAGGCGTATATATAGATATCTTCGACTCCTTCTCGCTTGCTGAAAGCTGAAATTTCGTGTCTCGGCAAATATCACTGGCAAAAAGGGCGAGGTCCGCTTTATGAGTTAACCTCAATTTGCCATAGCGACCACAACAACGACAAAGCAGCTGCCGAAAACATCGCATTTGCATATTCTTAGCCTGGTGACAAAGTCTTGGTATCAGTCGGTATTGGAAACCATTCGATCAAAATGTGCAGAAGAACCCTGGCCGGCTTCACCCCGCATTCTCATATCTCCACACGGGAATCGGCCCGTGTTCGATGCTAATAAATGTCCCGTGATTCTAGTTCCGGGTGAACACGGAGTTGTGCCTTATTTTGGCTTCTGCTCTTACTATTTCTTATTGTTTTCCGTATTCTGTGTGATATATAGGGTTAATCGTTGTTTATGCGAGCTCCGGTATAACATTGAGGCGAGAAACCAGACTTTACATGTTCTCGTTAATGTATGGAGAAGCATACGCTTTGAAGTAGTACCGCTGCAAGCTACACTACGATGTAACAACATGCCTCCCCAAAGGATGCGTTTATGCAGAACCGGCCCTGTTAACGCCCAACCAAGCACACTGATCTAGCGACAGAAATGGATGGGACTGTCTTAAGCGAACTGGGCCTACTATTGCATGCGGTAAACGAATATTGCTGCCTAGATTTCCTTGAAAATCTCGGCGAGCTTCAAAGTTCAAAGTTCAATGTATCAAAAATGCACCATCCATCTGCCTCATGTTGTAACGAAATTCTTATGCCATTGCGCCTAGATATCTGACTAGTTCATATATAATTTAAAAGAGTGCGTAAGTGCGTAGCCCATAACATTCATCTGTGCCTTCATAATAGCCGTTTACTCCTGAAAGGTGCCCTTCAGAGGCAGATCGTCATCATACTTGCCCTCTTCCTTCTTCATGTGCTTGTCAAAGCTCTGTGTCGACATCTGCACCTTGTCAAACAGAACCCTATCCAATACCGGCGCGGCGGGCGGCAGCTTGCCCTTTGCACGAGCGGCATCTGCATCCTTGGCATAGTTGTGCAGTGCCAAGCTCGATGCGATCTGGAAGGCGTTCCTGATCTGTCGACCGTTCCAGCAGCCCGTAGAGCGCGCCAGATCCTCGTAATGCTTGTTGGCAAACTCGAGAATTTCATCGTCCTTGATAGCAAGTGGCGGCTCGCCCGTCATCTTCTGTCGCTCAGACTCCATCACCTTGAGCTTGGCAATGTTGAGGCGGAAGATCTCAGTTGTCTGAGTCTTGTCGAGAGGCGGGTAGTACAGAGACAGGTGGATACGAGACTTGAAGGCCTCGTCGATGGTTCCCACACGGTTGGTTGTCAGGAAGAGGAGACCGTTGTAGTACTCCAACACACGGAGGAATACGGACACGAGAGCGTTTCGCGTCATATCCAGCTTGGATCGCTGCGACAGGAAAACGTCGGCCTCATCCAGCAGGAGCACGCAGTCCCACAAGTGCGCAAGACGGAAGACGTTCTTCAGACGTGACTCAACTTCATGAGGTGACAGACCGAGATCACCGCAGGTAATGACGAACAGCGGCTTCTTGTTCTCCATGGCTACAGCCTCAGCTGTTGCAGTCTTACCCACACCAGGCACACCGTGCAAGAGGACTACAAGACCACGACCTTTGCCCGCGATCAGATCCTGTCCAGGTCCCTCCGTTGAGGCGTCGACATATCGTCTCTCAAGCTGCTTCTTTCGGAAATGAGACATGACAAGACTGCGGACCACATCCTTGTAGTCGCTGTGAATTCGCAGGTTCTCAAACACACCGGCCTCGCGTCGAATAGGCTTGAGGAGGTTCAAGTCCACAGGCATAAAGCGACGTTCACGCAGAGCATAAGCAAACATACGCTTAGGGAGCAGCACCAAGTCTTCATCGCGCAGCTTCAGAGCCTGGGCGTTTGCCTCGAAGTTGCGAGATCCCCTCAGACGATTGCGCAGGAATGTATCAACAGTGAGATTGTCGCGGCGCTGGCGGCTCTCGACACCATCAGCCTTCTGGATGATCTCCTTCTGCACATATGACCTGTTCTGGCGCCCACCATCGAACCATTTCTGGATCGGCATCTCATCCTCCGCGATCTCGCAACGCGTAGCCTTGCTAACAGCCAGCTGATGGAAATCAGGTCGCCAGTTAGGCATCTTCTGGTAGGCCTCGGTCAAGTCAACAATCACATCACTCTCCACAAACTCTGGGTGGCGCATCTTCTCGTAGTACTCGTTATCCAGAATCTCCTGCTCCGGCTCAGTCCGGTGAGAAGGAGGGTTCCTGGTAAGCGTCCAGGCGTTATACTGCTGATGGCGGTCTTCCAAGAGATGCAAGAACCTACGGCCCTGGTCCTTCAGGCCCTCGATGAGCTCCTCATGCCCAGGCTGGTAGCGCATGGGGTAGCACGGCAGCGACTCAATAGAACGCTCACCAGCGAAGGCTTCGATCTCGAACTTGTTCTTGACAGCACCAAAAGTCGTGCCGTCGTGGTCAATGTAATAAGCAGAGATCTTGAACTTGGTCTGGTCGTCGATATCATCGAACTCGTCGAAGAAGCCCCAGCCGTTCTTGGGATAAGAAGTCTCGGGCTGAGGGGCCTGGATCTTGTAGATTCGCCAAACTTCATGGTATCGACCGCCGGCTTCGACAGCAGCCGGCATGTGGATGAGGTCACCGACACGGAAGAGCGACCACAAGTCATCAAACTTGACCTTCTCGGCGGTGCTGCCCTCGAAGCGAGCATAGAGGGGCATGATTTCCTCGTCAATGAACTTGACGTAGGCGCGCATGTCCCTCAGAGCTTCGGGGCTGTCCATAACACCGTCAAAGTCTTCATCGACGTTGGAGTCTACGGAAGCAAGCGACTCAGTGTCATCCTTGTCCTCATCCTCACCATCCTCGCCGTCGGTCTTGGCTTCCGTATCAGTGTCGTCTTTGTTAATGACCTCGACGATAACCTCGGGCTCGTCGCTGCCAGCTGTATCGGCAGCATCAGAGTGCTGCTCCTCGAGCTCTTCATAGTCGGCCCACTTCTCCTCCAGTGTGGCAAGAATCTCTCGCATCTTGGGTTGAAAGTATACGAGGGCCTTGAAGGGCCGCATGAAGGTGCGAGGAGTTGATCTGGATTCTGTATCGTTGAGGAATGAGGTCAGATGGCCCAGGATGGGCTGTGACTGCACACGAATCCGCTGAATCTCAGTGTCGGACGAGAGAAGTTCATTCCTCCTATCACGCTTGACCTTGTCGAGAGGGTCAATCTTCTTCTTGCGGTCAAGATGAGTGTCGTAGAGGCTGTACCAGCTCTTGCGAACTCGAGCCGTCTCTTCGCTGCGGCGCATCGCGCGCTCACGTCGAATCTGACCCTGAAGTCCGGGGCCAGCCACAAGGACTTCGACGGCATAGTCGGGCTCGTCCTCGGCCTGGAAGCGATTTTTAAAATTTTCGAAGTTAACTCTGCGGACCTCGGGGATCTTGGGGCGCCACTTGGCAGCAACACGGCGACGATCTGCGAGGATTCTGTCCCGGCGCTCTGCCTCTTCTTGCATAGCAATCAAATCAAGATCATGAGGGCCGTAGGGGCGTACTGAACGGCCACCACCAGTTCCGTTGCCATTGCCGTTGCCATTACCGCCAAAGCGGCCGCCACGGCGAGGAAGTGTCTTCCTGGTGGTCTGCTTTGTGCGAGCCATTTTGTAATGTGTTTAATTGGCTCGAAGGGGAAAATTCAGTGAAAATGAGAATTAACAAAGAGAAGGTGTAAGTGAAGCCTGTTGGGTATGATGTTGAGTGAGTTGTTGTGATGAGGCTTGTTCTGCAAAAGAATTGGCTTCTCCAGAGGAATGATGGTATATTAATATTTCCAGCTTGGACTACAATATTCTTGGACTGCTCATCAAAATGCAAATTAAGAGCCTCTTTGCATTGATCGAGACAGTGACTCACGCCGCAGCTCGCTAGGCAGATGCGAGGCAGCCACCGTGAGCATGGACGAGGATCCGCAGCCAATAGACCTGCATGAGTCTTACAACGATTGCCAGGCAACCATCGACTAATATTTTAGGTCTGTTTTCAGCAGATGAAAAACGACTCGTTCTCTGAGTTAACAGCTTGATAAGCTGTTACTTCACACCGTAGGACACAAGACAAGGATTATTCAACCCTGGCTATAATGGGAGCTTGCATAGCTATGATTGAGCAGGTTCGTGAGGGTGGTCTCGGGTGTCCGCCAGTTCTTGCCGATCCAGTATCCATCTCTACCCCCACAAGAGCTCTGAGCAAGGAATTGAGATTGATGTTCCCTTAAACGTGCTTGAAACATTCCCCAAGTATCTCTCTCTTTCTCACGGACATGGAGCATCTAGAGAGGTTTTGAAGAAGAGAGATCGTCTAATAATACTGTCCCAGCTACTTAGAGTATACAACCCGAGCTATAAAATCCACGTTTCAATTGCAGAGATAAACTCCCATCCAAACCCAGTTGATGGGACTGGTAAACCCTACATCGTCATGCACTTGTGATGGCTCGATCTCATGTCGGTACTCCATAAGCAGCTTAAGGCAACCAACACACACACCATAACGAACGCTAACAACTCACCGTACTGTGCCGGATCAATCGCGCGAGACTCCAGGAACGAGCTTGACGGGATCCCTCCCCCTATCCCAGCATTAGCAATTAGGCTTCAGCGTCCGTGCGTGAGGCTCTTTGGGCGGTTCCCATCGTGATGTTGGTGTGCCTTGTCAACAAATCATGTTGAAGGCTTAGACACACAGCCACACCATCCCCACACGCGTGCCTAGACTGGATCTCCGCGGCACTTGAGAAGCCAATCGCTGTTAGATGCTCACATGCAAATCCACGGTGAAAAGTCAACATGATCTTGTGTCATGCAAGCACGGTTTCATTGGCACAACATCTTGAGTCCTGCATCAATGCTTGTTCCATGTTCCCCTTGTTGAGATCCTGATGCCTGCTTGATAGTATCAACGTGCGGGGTCTTCAATGTTACGATGGCCGGCCCACTTGTAAGAGCCTCAAAGAATTACAGGGGTACGGAGAAGAAGAGCGCGAACCCTGGGAAGGAATCACATCTCTTCCTTCAATTGATGTGATATGATGCTATGCCACTTATGATAAGAGGCAACTGATGAGACACTGGTGGAATCGACAGTGTGCTCAAGCATTCATGTAAGCAGCTTTGCCTATGCGTCTTCCATGTTAGGTACAAATGGAGGAGTTTTAGAAGCGTACTAGGGTGAAAATCTGGCAAATTCGCCCAACGCTTCTGGGCCACGCCGGGCGTCAAACAGAGTGGTCAGAACGTTATATCTGTGGTTTTATAGATAGTGTCCTTACACCGGACCTTACACTCTCGCCTTATTCTACCCAATAGTTCAGTCTCCTTTCCTAGTATAGACTTATTACTAATAATTATTATTACAGAAGAGTTAAACTTTAACTAGTTAATCTGTTTTTGTGTCTAAGAGCATATACGCAACTATACCTCGCGAACTTTTATTACTAGCCCTTCTAATACTTTAGGTAATTTCTCGCCTAACTAGGGCAGCCTATTCTCTTATAACGCGTAAGAAGGGTTACTAAATTTTAGCGCTTATAAAAAGGGCATCCTTATTATATATAACTAGCGGAATATATAAATACTATACTTAAATATAAAAAAGATTTTCGGAAAAAACCCTAATAAAGTTCTCATAACCCTACGTAAACTATAAGATAAAGATGCTATAACCAACAGCCAGAGACAATAACTACAACGGCGCGCTACAAAGGACACCATACCAACAGTGGGAGTCGAGCATATGCAAAAATTGCTTACGTATAATAACTGTTGAAATAAGGGGCAACGACCTAGTAGTTGTACCGGTACCCACGTAGGCAGGAGGTCAGTCCACTAGCTACGTATAAGTAGGAGGCCATAGTCGCCACTAGATAGGAAGATCCTAAGGCCAATTGATATACTTTTTCATCAATAGCAATCAGGGGCTGGATTGTTTTTTTACATGTTCCACTTGAGCAATACATGGACTCCGTCACCATGTCCGGTATTGTCCCAAGTTTTCTTGTTTCGCTTGATCGCGGCCTGGTCATCGTCCGGAGTAAGGATAGCGGTCTCTCCAACACCAAACTTGTTTGCGACGTCGCTTGAACGCCATTCAGCAACCCCTTCGCATCGTAGGATGGGCGTAAAGTCGGCATCAATGGTGGTGTTCTCTGCGTTCTCTGTATCATCTGCCTGGTCGCCATTGGTCTTCTTGGCCTTGGCCTTGGCGGGTTTTCTGGTGGAGGCATTCTTGGGCTTGGATGGTTTTCCCGCGGAGGGCGCCATCTTGGGAGGAAACCCGCTTTTCACTTGGATCCAAGTGGGAATTGTCGATGGTGTCTGGGTCAAGGAAGGAGAGTTTGATCGAGGAGGGAGAAGTTCCTTTATAGTCCCGGGCCCGAGTGGACTGCGGATTTCAATCAATTTGGCGATGCATTGGAGGCTTGAGATAAAAGGGTGGTTACGTTGAATATCGCGATACATTTGAGGACTCGTTGGGACTTGGTGAGCATAAACCAAAAGGGTGTATGTTGGATACGCGTATCTGACGGTTAGTGGTGGTGGAATATTGGGTATACACCTACGAGGCGGGGTGTTTTCTGGTAGAGGGTGTGGTGATAGTGAGAGTCAACAAGAGCAAAAAATCCTCCGGTATCTGCATAGACCAGGCTCGCTTCTTAGATCACACTGTCAGAAGCCAGTCACAAAGGACTTTGTTTCTAGGAAGGTCGGAGATAAATACAGTCCTTTGGGTAACCCTATCTGCGTGGTCCGTGATGATGACCGTGCTACCTTCAACCTTGATTCTCTCACTCTTCCTTTGAGTCGCAGTTTCGTGACACACTCGGCAAAATGCGGTTGGACAATTTGACACTGAGGCAAGACTACCGCGTTCTCGTACGGTTATTCACTGGATTTGATGAAGATCAATGCTTTTACGGTACAGGTATCTGAAATGTATTTGGCCATTAAGCTCGCTCTTGGCTAAGCTTGTCTTAATTACCAAGAAGGAAGTCTACTGGACTAAGAATAATAATTATATCGCTATTGCTCTGCTTGAACTGGCTAGCTAAGAGCTAAAATGGCTTAAAAAATGGCTTAAACTGGATAACCAAACTCTTAAGTGACGTTAGAAATATGATTTAAAAAGCACTTTCACAAAGCTAAGATAACAGAGTTAAACATAGGGCAGATTAAGCATTTTAGTAATAGTATAAAGAAGAGGCAAGAGTATAAGCCCACTGGGATTATTAATAATAATAGCTTAGATAGTAAGGATCTAGTAGAGGATAAAGATGCTAAATTTGCTAACGAGAATAAGCCTAAGACTGCTATTAAGGAGAAACTTAATAGCGCCGCTGAGGAAAATCTAGAGGATAGTGTAATAGAGTTAGACAATAGGGAAGGGGATACGGACTCCGAGGTATTATTAAGTAATTAGAAAGTTTATAAATAGGCGATACTTTTAGCTAATTATAAAATAACTTATAGATATATAATAGGTCTATTTTCTAATATAGGCGGTTTAGGAGATTTTGCTATTCTAATAGATAGATCTTAGGACTGGAAAATATAGGGATTGATATATTTAGGGATAGGCTTAGCAAAAAACATTATAATAAGTAAGTCTATAAATATGATACACTTATAAGTATATTTAGATCCCATGATCAAAAGACTATGGTGTTTTCTTCCGGTCACCACCTGGCGGCACTGAGAAAGGTGAGCTTTAAATCGAGCAACCAGCGAATCCTCAGTTATCAGCTTCAAGATGAAGTATTTGCATATAACACTCCAACGCACCAGATTCTATTTCACCATTGACTATTTTGATTTAATCATGAAGGGCCTCGCCTAACTTCCAATTGATTTATCTAAAGCCATCACGATGGCACTTGGCTGTCGGCCTAGTAAGTCATCGGGGTATCATGAGTTTCATTATCGCTATATAGTAAAAGAAATACGCCAAATCTAGGCTTCTAAGTCTATGCCGAACAAAGAAAAGGTAAAAATCACTCCTCTCATCTCCCCTTTTAGCATTAAAGAAAATAAAGGAAAAAGAAAAAAAGGCCAGGCGAATCTTCTGCCATTCAATCTAAGCCAAAGCGCAGCATTGCGATGCATGTCGTATCAAAACGTCGTAACTCATAACTCTTTAGTCGTAAACAGATGCCTTTGACCATTTGGAACTGGCTCGAATCCGTTTTCCATACTTGTAAAAGAAAAACGGTACAGGGATCAGCAACGCAGCAAATCCACCAGTAATACTGGAGCCTGGTCCGACGCCAATGTTGTGGAACAAAGGTCCTACAACCAGCGGGAAAGCACCAGCAAAACATGATCGAAGGAAAGTATTTGCCGCTACAGCTGATGCGGCGTAAGCCTGGAATGTGTCCACCAGGTAGTTGAGTGCAGCTTGGAAGATGGTGAAGAAACCTGTTCCCAACATGACGAGACCGATACAAGGCACGATCCAATGGATGTGAGGTTGTGGACCAGTCCAGCCCAACAAAAACTGTCCGCCACTAAAGAGGACGGAGCCAACCATCATGGGCGGTAAACGCTTTTCGGGAACTGCTCGGTTGCCAGCGGCATGATATGCCTTGTTATACAAGAGTTGGTTGTACACATTAGCACCACATCCAAAGATGGCTCCAAGGAAGATGCAAGTGAAAGGCAGCGTAGCGACCAGAGGGCCCCATCCACGAATTTCACGGAAGATGATGGGAATGCCGCCTAGCTGCATGTACAAGATGCCGTAGCAGAAACTGGCATAGAGGGCGACGAGGAAGCAAATGGGCGTAAGGAGCAACTGCACCGGGCGGACCAAGAACTTCTTGCACAGGTCCTTGACATTGACGTCCCATTCCTCGAATTTGGCGTGCAAAGCCCAGTTTCCGCTCTCATGGCGCAGCCGACGCGCCTTGTATACGAGAAGTTTCGGGGGGTAGCTTTCGTCGATGAAGATGACCGCAAGCAGGAGGAAAACGGCCTGGAGCATTCCTGTAAGATATTCGGTCCAGCGCCAGCCCAAGAATGACTGCTCTGTCACAGCAGCAGAGACAATAGGACCTAGATTAAGTGTTAGTGTTGGTGAAATTTTCAACGTGTGGCGATTACTGATCTTGCTTACCCAAAGAAGGGCCACCGACGACAGCCATTGCGTAGCCAGCCATGGCAATGCCTCTGTATGCTGGAGAAAACAGATCACCCAGGACACCGCCCGTGTTCGTAACGGGTGCGGATGAGAAGAAGGCTCCCCAGAAACGAGTCAACATGATGGTTTGAAGGTCTTTAGCCGTAGCAGTTGCGAAGCTGAAGCAGATGGCAACAAACATGGGAGCCATGACTGCAATACGGCGGCCATAGACCTCACTCAGCGGTGCCCATAGTAAGGGACCAACACCGAAGCCGAAGAGGAACAATGTGGTTCCCAGCGTTGCAACCTGCGTTCCAACGTGGAATTCTTTGGCCACCTGTTGCGTACCAGCAGAGTATGCCGATGAAGCCCAAGTCGCCGTCATGGTAACAAGGCCATAGAGCGCCGTGGTGAGCACCTTTTTGTGCGTGGGCCAGTTGAGAGGGTGGTAGGGGTCGTCGGGGCCGTCGAAGTCGACAATCTCGTCCTCTGTTGTCGGGATATGCGCAAGGGGATGTGTAAACTGAATATTGGGTCGCGAACGAATACGCGACAATACTGTATCTCGCCGGGACAGGGTACGATCTAAGGCCGTGGCCCTTGCAGATTCAGGGCGAGTTCGGATCTTGCTGGCCTGGGATGTATTGGTCCGGATCTCTTGGAGAGCGGGTCGGTGACCATCAAGGTCGTCTTCCTTTTCTCTGTCATCTAGACTATGAATGCTGGTTCCGCTCTCTTCATTTGGACTTTCGTCAAAGGCGGCTGTATCACTGGTCTGGGACTGTGAATGTCCAAGGACCTGGTCTTCTTTGCCTGCCATATTGAGGATTGTAGCACGTGAGGTTCGTTGATCGAAAAACGAACTCAAGCATCGCTAGCGCATCTTCAATCCCGGATCCATCATCGTGGGAGCGGGAACATCCATTTATATAACTACCGATACGAAAATCTCTGGTTCAAGAGACAGCCGAAAGCCGGGAAAGAATTTCCACATTAATCGACCGCTAATCGTCGACCGCTAAATCTACAATCTCAAGGTCAGCAACAACGGGCGAAGAAAAACATGATCCTAGTCGCCTTCGATATCTGCCGTCGCTATTTCCGATCCACACCACGGCTAAGTCTGCCGATTGTTAGGGGCTGTGGCTGACGTCAATGGCCGACTTGATTTCGACAAGGGTGACAAGGCCCGGAGAAAGACGTAAAAGCGAGCCGAGGACGGAGCCGATGTCACTCATCAGTATTAGCAGCTCTTTAGTCATGTGTGGGTTGTGCAGTTAGAAGCCGACTTGACCATTCTCATTCGGCTACTTACTCTGATAACGCAGACTTTGGGGCCTCTTTGTTCCTGAGCAGTGACAAATCTTTCAGGTAAGATGCCACGACGAGTCAGAAATGGCGCTGACAGGGGTAACGTTCAATTGAATTACGCGGTGTCTTTGCGATATCCAACCATGGACTTTGGCGTTGCGGCTATCAAGCCCAGCGCTCACGACGACCAAATGCTTATGACGATCAAACGGAGCACAGAGTGACAGCCGAAGAATCATCTTATCGACCAATATAGTGGAGATTGGCCCTACGGTGCAACCCCTTGAGCCATCCCGCCTATTACTTGCTTCTTTCGGTCTGGTCTTTTGTCAAACACTTGGAACTTGTTCTTTGCTGACTTGGCTGTGCAGACGCGAGTCAACGGAATACAATTACAAAAGCTGCCAACACCAACCTCCTGATGTATCTTTGTAATTAATTAAGCTAGTGAGTAGGCCTCTTATAAACTGTAAAGAGCACAGACACAGCGGCAGCCTATCAGGAGCAAATGGTGACTCTTTGCTCGTAAATCGGTGAGACATTGGCTAAAGCCGTGAGCACGGCAAACGCCCACAATCAACAGATTTTGATAAGCCACAAGAGGCCACGCAGATTGCCATCATGAACATTGATAATGTGTCTCCATTTCTTGACTGCAATTCCGAAGGATGTTTTTAAAGCTTGAGAAGTATTAAACCAGCGACTTGATGGCGACTTTGAATCCTCAATACTCGCACTCAAAATCATTTCCTCGCTACCCTACAGAAGATAAAAAGAAAACAAAAAGGTCCACGTATAGCATGCACATCATTCACTAGTAATATAGTCGGTTTTATATACTCTGGGAACTTTTTTATTTCTCACGGGGGTTTTATTCGAGATGAACACACCCTCTGAATCTCTGTCTGCTCTATGATCTATGCCAATTTAGTTTTCGGCTGACAGATCAGTCTCCGATTTGGAAATAGCCGATGACCTCGAAAAGAAGCACTCATAGAGTTGCAGAACTGTACAGGTCATCTGCATCGTGAGTATGCCGGAGATAAAATAATGAAAAAAATCATATCCGGTAGAAATGACAGCTTCATCATATGAGAATTGGCTACAGAGTCCAACCAAAAATAAATATGTAACAGAGGCAAAAAATGAAAGCTGACGAGAGTGGGACTCGAACCCACGCGGATTGCTCCACCAGGAATTGCTGTTAAGGTAGCCTTAACCTGACGCCATAACCAACTCGGCCATCTCGCCGATTTCATGCTGAATATTATCTTAATGCTTTACATATACTATACGTCTCCACTGACGACACCAGAGTAGGGTGCGATGATGCGGTATTCTTGGATTCTTCATGTATACATGAAGTGTGATTCCTTTCACATCAATGGAAAAATAAATAAGTGACATAGTAAAATGATTTGATACAACGGCGAAATAAATGTGGCCAAAAATGGAAGGAAATCTTCTGGTCTTGGGTGAGCCTAAGAGTGCTGTGAAGCATGGAGCACATTTTGGATGTGTAATCTGAACTTTTAGGCAGTACCCGTACCCGCATTCTTTTAGCCTTGGGGGAGATTTAAAATGCTGTGAAATCTAGATCGATAGGTATGTTTTGATCTTCCCCGGTGTCCCAGTAACCTATTGGAACGCGCTTTAGATACGAGTAACATTACCGTGATTGAGCCCGTGTGCCAGGAACATTGGGTATAAGTAAAGATTTCCAGTGCCCGAATTTATTTGGCTAACGGGTTCGCCACTGGATTTTGTCACAGTTGCTACGTGTTTTGGCTATTTGGAATTTTTGTGAGAGGCTGTAAATACAATAGTCTATATAGCGTCCTAAGCCGGCCCCATTTCCTCTGTCATGAAATGGTTGTCGTTGTCGTGAGATGCCCAAAACTACATGTAAGGGCTTGACTATTCTGCAAACTTTGCATGTTGTTCCTTTTTATGCCGAGTCTTTGAAAGCTCCCAGTTTGAACAGCTTCTTTGCATTATCCTTTCCAATCTTCCTCACATCATCTGCGTTCTGCAAGGTAACTCCGTCATACCAGTCACAAGCATCACCAAAGGATTCAAACGGGTAGTCAATTGAGAACAGGATGCGGTCTGCACCTCCAAGCTCTGTGATGCAGTACTCCAATGTGGGTGTTGAGAAATGGCCGCTAGTGGTGATCCAGATGTTCTGGGCAAAGTATTCTCGGATCGTCTTCTTGCAATCCAGACCGAGTGGCTTCTTGACGTCCTCGAACCAGTGGTTGATTCTCCACAGATCAAAGGGAATATGCTCTCCCAAGTGGCCAATGATGACTTGGAGCTTGGGATGTCTGTCAAAGACACCGTTTGTGACCATGCCTAGGAGATGCAGGCTCACACCCTGAGCAAAGCTGAGCGGAGGTCCAATGAGCCACTTGCGCTTGGCCCAGAGCTTGTCGTGAATAGTTCCCGTGGGATTTCTAGGGTGCAGATAGAAGGGAACATCTAATTCGGTAACAGTGGACCAGAAAACATCCCACTCTGGTCCATCGTAGAAAACCATGTCATCTCCATCGGCACCAGCTCGCTGTGTGTCATTGACAAGTGCACCCTTGAAACCCAGTTGGGTTACACATCGTTTTAGTTCTGCCGCTGCTTCAGCAGGATCATGCATAGAGAGAGTTCTGAGTTTTGGTGTTAGCTTCGACCAAGGGATTTAACATGTCAATGTCATTCTGCTCGGTACTTACGCCAAGGCGCCAAATCGGTCAGGGTGGTCCTTGATGGCACCGGCAATGTAATCGTTGATCTCAACGGCGAATGCTTGTGCTTCTTTGCTGTCCCAGATATCTTGCACACCTGGTGCTGTGTAAGAAAGTAATGTGTAGCCAACGCCATGCTTGTCCATATATGCAATGCGCGTGTTGGTAATATCTGTCATCTCGTGTGCGTGTTGATCAGGGTTGACGGCGAAGAGCGACGCCCACCACCTTGTCTTCTCCTGCATGCGAGGTAAGGCAAATGCCTCCTCAAGAGCTACTTTTCCGAGCATGTTTGCGGGTTTAGAAGTTAATGAGTAGGCTTATCTTCAAGATTGTATTAATCAGTGGGAAAGAAGTGGTAGCTATAGATGGTAACGACGACGAGGAAATGGTTATTTGCCCGAGCAAAGAATTGTTCGGGGACTGAGTATAAGTAAGAACCAGCCCTCCTACATTCGTCGGCCTCGCGCATTTATGAATTGAGTCGCCAACCGCATTCAAGTTCTCAACACGACACCCCTCATCTGCTGTCCCTCTTCCGCTGGCGGCTGAAGATCAGTCAACTCAATATATTGGCGGAGACTGGCGGATGACGTCCCTTCCATGGGTGTAGAACAGCCCCATCACATAGATCGAAGCTAGGAGTAAGCTGAGGGGCTGGTGGGTTTCGGCCCCGGCGATGCTCTTCCCGCGCCTGAACTAGACTTTGACGAGGTGACGGAGCGGGCGGCGGTGGGTATCAACGGCTGATGAGCTGGAGGTGATTGGATTCGAGGCAGAGGATGCGGGGAAGAGGACCAGGGAGCGATAACCGCACAGTATTATTTTCTGATAGACTGTCCGCGGATACAGTCACGTCTTGATAGCTTGGACAATCAAGTACGATAACCGGCGTCTCAGTCCTATCAACTCGCCGGCCTTGGAAGCTCAACCGCGTCGTCACCTGGGGGACAAATTTGAACAAGAATCTGGAAAGCCCTGTGTCTGGGGGATCCCCCCCTGTCTCACAATGCTCGCAGAGCCCCAAGACGCGAGCCGAATTACACATGATGAGCCTGTGGTGGCCTGTTGTCGCGTACGACCCCTTCAAGCCATTCTTTCATACGCAGGCTAGAGCGGATAATCGCTAGCGACTGTCTTGGTCTATCGAATTCCCGACGACAAGATGCCGCGGCCAAAGGTTCACCCAAGTCAGCGCCAGCGAGCCGCTGAAGCATGCAACTTTTGCCGCGCGTCCAAGAAGCGGTGCAGTGCCACGGTCCCGTGTACTGCCTGCCAGAGACGCGGCATCGGAGACTCGTGCTATCTCACCCATCGGCCTCGAGGCTCCCGAAGGCTTCCGCCTCGGACAAGGAGCTCGGCCCCGGAGCAGGTCCCGGCCTCACCGAGCGGTGGAGACGGTGTCCCGGATAGCCTGGATGCCTCGCTGGATCAGCTTCCGCAAGAGTCTGCGTGGGGCCGGGATGGGTTTGGTCAGGTTGTTGCTCCGGAGTGGTGCCCAGAGGGTGAAACAGCTTCTATGGACAATGAAGCAGATGCCGATTACCAGCCGCTTACTCCGTCCGATTCCCGAATAAGCATGTCCGATGCGACCACGAATAGATCCGCACACCCGTCGACGCAATTACCAGCGAGGCCGGGGTCTCCGGCTCTAGAACCGGAGTCGCATGCCCGGATGCTACTGAATCTACGAGGAGAACGAGGTAAGGCGTCATACCATCATCTGAGCACGCTATACATGCTGAATCACGATGAACTAATACCGGCATCCCGTATAGTCTATATCGGCGAGGCTGCATCTCTATCGTTCCTTCAGCTCATTAGAGATACTGTGACGGCTCAAATTGGGCCCTCCCAATTTTCTCACAATGAGAAGCGCGATAGTATGCTAGAGACAGAGCCCTCGGCTGTTGACTCCAATGGTTTAGAGCCAACCAATTGCAACATAGATTTAGAGGGCAGTCTACTCTACGCTCGCACCTTTGAAGCTGCTGTAAGCATGGCGACAAAAAAACTTCCATCCTTTATTTCCTACCGACGGTGCTAATCGTATATCAAGACTGGTGGGCTTTTAGATATCTTTGGGCCAACAGAAATAGAGGATATTCTGTTAAAGACTGGAACTGATGGGGTTCAGTCTCTCAACCCATGCCAACATGCCACCGTCGACCTTGTGATAGCCATCGGCGCTCAATGCAAATCTCCAATGGATGCACAACAGATCGGACCAGCTTATTTTCGTCAAGCACAGCAGCGTGCATTCGCTGGCATGCTGGAGGACCCAAATATTGACATGGTCCGCGCCTTTCTTCTAATGGCCTTTTATATGCTTGGTCACTGTCGGAGAAATACTGCATTCATGTACTTGGGGATTGCATCGAGAGCTGCAGTTGCCCTTGGAATGCACAGCCCACATTCTTACACAGACTTGAAGAATCCATCATGTCAGTTGAGGTAGGTTGACTCTGGTGAAGATTCTCACCGTCTGCTAACCAGAGCTAACTGATTTTACAGGCTTCACATTTGGATGAGTCTATGCGTCTTGGATATGCTGGTATGCTCTATACTCGGGAGGCCGCCTGCAACTGCTGGCCTAAGAGCGGAACTTGATACCAGCATCATCGCTTCATATCAGCCGTTAGCCTCGCGGCCCGATTCACGCACTGCAAGTTTATTTGCGTCGTATAAAATACTTACCATCATTAATGAAAGCGTCGACGCCCTGTACGGGAGGAAAGTTGTGTCCACAGGCATGGTGGAATCATTATTGAACAAGATTGAAGACTGGAGCAAAAGTCTTCCCAGCTTTCTCCGCAATCCTCTTACACCTAAAGGCTCTCCGTCGCAGAGAGCGGCAACGGACAGCATACACGTCGCTTGCCTCTACTATTTTGCCATCACTCTTGTCACTCGGCCTATACTGATATCCAGGCTCACATCTCGCCGCGATTCCGCAACACCTTCGTCCTCACCCATGGCATCCGCCTGCCTCGATGCGGCAGTATATCTGGTACAGACATGCTCGGAAGCACACAAGTCAGGGTTACTGCTTGGTAATATGTGCATATTAAAGTAAGGTATCTGTGTGAGTAGAGTTAGACCAAGAGCTAACAGCTAGACTTAGGGCCTTGATATTCGCTGCTGGGCTTATTCTTGGATTTGACATGTTTGCGAAAAGAGAGCTAGATTACGAGGTTGAAGTAGCCTTCCGCAGCGCCAAAGACGTCCTCGACTTCTTGGGCATTCAAAGCCCCCAGGCCAGCCATTATTCGGAAATTCTAGGCCTCCTATCCAATGCAATCACGAAACGACGTATGAAACTGTCTTCACGCCCTCGAAATAGGTACGTTGGAAAGCTGGTATCTTTTAGCGACGGAGGAGACTCTAGTCAAGACAACATCACCAACGACAATGAGGCTCTGCCTCTAAATAATACTGGAGGGCTTTCTGTCCCAGTTGGAGAAATTGGTGGAGTCTGGAGTACCGATCTACCGGCTCAGTCTGCAGAGATGGATGAAGATATGTTACGAGGATGGGACAGTCTGGATCTGTCACAGTGGGATAGTTTTCCTTTTTTTAACCAAAGGTCGTTCTGGCCCTAGAGGGTACCATAGTTGGTGACTATGACGCACAGATGAGACCTTTGTTCTCAAATTTCTGCTGTACTATATATATTCTGGAGTAATGTGTTGCCAATATATAGATTCAACCAAGTATAAACACCCCAGTTCTCAATCTTATGGATGCCTATATGCACAATTTGAGTACGTGAATAACATTGCATGTCTAAGCCAAGTGCCATTCACAGTGCGTCGGATAAAGCACCTCTTAATGCGGTGGCCAACAGTGATAAGCATACCACAAGTATGTATGTTGGCCGCCTCCGCCCATCCAACAGAGCATCAATCAAGTTTCTATGACAAAGTTTGCGGAGGAGTGACGGCTATAGAGCACGCATCGGGTATTATTCATTGGTCAAAAAACACGGCAGAGGTGTATAGCCCCTTTCTCTGAGGCTTGTGCCAACCTTGAAGCGGCTATGACACCTGCCCATGCGCCAAGGGGCATAGCCGACAACATCCGCGATAAGCCACTCAGCTTTTCCCATCTCGGCGTCTATCACAAGGCACTGACGTGAATGGCGGCAGCAAGGGAGAGATAAGGACGAGAGATGAGATTTGACGTGATACGTTCGCAGCTTGATCTGTGCAGAGTCCTTTTCCGCTCCATGAATCACCGTGTACCCGTGTTAGAGGACATGGAGATAGATAAACTTCGGTTTCACCCAGCACCGACATCGTGGTTTTTACTCTCAAATATATCCTCGAGGCAGTCCTCACTAATCAAATACAACTACACTGTAATATCATCTTTTTCTTCTTTAATCTTTCAAAATGGGCTCAAATTTCCCCTCAGGTTGGAGACGTCTCAGTGTCGGAGTTGTCGGAGGTGGTATCGGTGGCATGTCCGTTGCCATTGCCCTCCGTCGCGCCGGCCACGATGTAACCATCTACGAAAAGCACGACTTTGCAGGTGAAGTAGGCGCCTCAGTCTCATGTGCCGCAAACGGTACACGCTGGCTTCACGAATGGGGAGTCGACGTAGCGAAAGGAGATCCGGTCGTGTTAAAGAAGTTGATCAATCGTGATTGGAAGACGGGCGAGCCGGTCAGCGTCTATGATTTGGACGACTATGAAGAGAAATGGGGATATGTTTATAACATGTTTCACCGACAATACATGCATGCCATGTTGAAGGATTCTGCCTTGGGAGAGGGCAAGGGGACACCAGCAAAGCTAGAAGTGAACCATCAGGTGAGTGTAATGATTGAGTGTTTCGAAAACAAGTGGAAATGCTAATATTTTCCGGCAAAGTGTCAAAACATTGACATTGAAGCGGGCAAGATTACATTCACCAACGGTATTACGGCTCAGCACGACCTCATCGTCGGTGCAGATGGCATCGGCTCAATTGTCCGCAGCGAAATCGGCATACGTCCAGCGAAACGACCATCCGAGCAGAGTTGTCTCCATGCCAATGTCACGACAGAAGAGGCCGTCAAACTTGGACTCGTTGACTACTCGCAGCACAGCGCGCTGGAATATTGGGGCGGGCAAGAGGGTAAATGGGACAAGATTGTTTTGTCGCCGTGCAACGGAGGCAAGCTTCTATCATATTACTGCTTCTTTCCTCGATCTGTGGGCGATTACTCTACACACACTTGGGGAAATGATGACAGGCCGGTGGAAGAGTTACTTGCGCCATATCCGAATCTTGATTCACAAGTGCTGTCACATTTGAAGATTGGAAAAGAGATCCGGCCGTGGCGGCTATGGGTGCAGTGAGTATTCAAGATTACTGAATCTACTTTGACCCGTCTGCTGATTACAATGACCTAGTGATCCTTATCCGTTTATTCAGAAGAATATGGTCTGCTTGCTGGGTGATGCAGGACACCCGGTATGAATTCCCTTTCTTTCAAGAATGCAGCTATAGCAGAACTAACACAACATCAGATGATGCCCCATCAGAGCCAAGGTGCTTGCATGGCCATAGAAGATGCTGCTGCGTTGGGAATTCTCTTCAGCGAAAAGTACTTCAGCGGAGACATCGGTGAAGCTCTGGCGGTGTACGATACTGTCAGACTCCCTAGAGTGACAAGGGTGCAGTCAGCGGCTGCAAAGGCAGCATACAACATTAACGAGAGAATTGGTGAGTTAAGCTAATTCGTGTCATTTCATTTGGGTAGTACTGAAACAAAGAGTTGTCTAGGATTCTCACAAAATAAGAACATTTCGACATACAAAGTTGAGGACGAGAAAAAGAAGCTGACCATTGAAGAGATGAATGCGTAAGTCAAGTAACACTAGGTTACGGTATATAACAAGCGGCTAATAGCGAAACAGATATGACATGTACAAAGATATTGAACAGGCTCTGGCAGAGAAGCGTGGAGCTGCATTCCGTGAAAAGTACATCCATGGACTGCCAGTTGGGCTGGAGCTTCCAAGTGGTATTATCATTGGACAAGAGGCATGAGGTTGTATCCTTGGAGTAATAATAAGGTAGTCACCGTATTGGCTGCAGTAAAATTGTAAATATTCATTCTAAATCCTCAATTGCTTACAAGAAAGCCGTATCTTGAAGCGCAAATTAATCTCTTCAATCGTGCCGTGCGAATGATGCTGCTGTCTCAATCAATTAATCAAGACTCCATCACTTAATCAATGTTTGCGATGTACATAGACGTGCATGTATGCATATCTCTTCATGTTATAGCATGCAGTGATGCTATTAGAAAAAAAAGAAATTGCCCATCGATATCATATGAACGGTAAATGATGATGTGTAATGAATGACGTGAAAATCGCAGAATATGGATATTGATTACTACATGAAGAAACATAAACAAACGTACAAAGCTACAATCTTAACTTGCATTCATATAATCGTTAATTCTTCTTGGCCAGCTTCACATTATACTCTAGGTCCCATTCCGCTTGTGAGTCTCCCTCACGGGGCTTAAACTCGACAGTCAACCCATCCTTTACCGCGAATACGCTGTCGTCTTCGAGATACTTGGAATCCTTGTCAAATATTTGAGTAGTCAACGGGCTATATCCTTCTGTCGAAACCTGTAATTGCAAGTTAGAAATATGTACAGTGAGTAACGAAGTAAGGCTCCTTACAATGAGATGGATGTGTGCGGGTCGGAACTCGTGACGATCCATAAGCTTCAACAATTTGCCTGCAGGACCATCGAAAGGAATCTATTGGTAGAAAATTAGTATTTAATTTTCCTTGGACATGTTGATCCGTGTCTCCAGGGAATTCTTACGGGATATGGTGTCGGACGGAGACAGTAAAATGAATATCGACCCTCTGCATCGGTGATGAACTTGCCGCGCAGATTGCAGTCAATCTGATCGTCATCCTGCTGCTCATACAGACCTATTTATTTCACCCATTGTTTAATGACTATCCATATTCAGAAGCATCAGTGTACTCATACCGTTTGTTGAAGCCTGCCAAACATCCACTGAAGTGTTTGGGAGGGGTTTGCCCGTCTCAGCGTCCGTCACTTGGCCATGCATGTAAGCTACCAAGCCATCCTTGGGGGTGTTGAATGTGATGGTAGTGCCGTTTTCTCGGATTGGCGCGTCAGCACGCCAAAAGGGTCCGAGAATGGCAGACGATGTGGGTGGCTTGTCTGTCTTGCTGGCTTCTCTGTATGTGATATCATCAACCAGCCTAAAAGGTGTGTCAGCTCTTCCATCATCAAAGGCAAAATCGAGAGCGGGCATCATGCGAAGCGACATACGATTCCAGGCCAATGACATCGCACACCAGCTGTCCCTCGTTGCGCTTGTTGTTGCTCATCTGGCCTGCCCAGTTGATCATTTCCACTCCCGCCAACCATTCCTCCGTCGTTAGGTTGACCTCGCGCGCAAAATCATGAACATGTTGGATGAGAGCAGACAGCACAGTCCGCATCCTGGGGGTTGTGTTTGGGCCCATAGCTTGAATAACGTGGCTTGTGAACTCTTGGCCAAGGCCGCCATCAGTTGATTGGGAACCCATCTTGAAAATTTTGGTGGTTTTAGATATAGTTAGCGATTGAGTCTGTCCGTATTGTTGAGTTGAGAGGAGAATTAAATATTGTACGACATGCTATTATTGTCTGGTTTCAAGTGGCAAGTATCAAGCTTGGAGTTCGTCCTTATAACTTGGATGCAACGGGTATCCGAATCGATCTTGATACCCGTCCCTGCCCTCCAATTAGTAAATAGACGATTAACAAAGAGCGCATAAGCCAAAAAATGACGCCCAAATCATTCGTTTTCCTCGTTCGTTTCGCCTCAGCCATGCCCCGAGTCCTGTATCCGCCTCGCGGGGTTCCCCCGATCCGAATCCGAATGTGGCTGCAGTGTCGGATAACATCCCAGATTCCCATACTGGATGGTTCAGAATCTCCCCCGCATAAGATGAGCGCTAATAACCCGCTCGGCAGCGGATCAAAGCCCAAGAGAGCGCCTGTAGCCCCTCACAAGCCGTGAATTAATATTCGACTCAAGTTGAGTTGTCGGATAAGGTTCCTGGTACTGGTTGATTGTCCTAGTCTCGTGAGAAGGATGAAACCCCAAGCATAGATGTGCGCTTACGCAATCTGTTTACCGTAACAATACAACATTAGGTTATACTGAGATTGTTTTATCGCAAGGCAAATTGCTTCATCCATCTCTAGTCTTCTAATGAACCCCGTGTAAGTCTACTTCTACTACAATTGGTAATCCTTTTCCTCGCCTACTTCCCATTTCGCTTCATCCGAACCGTTCGGCCGGCTTGCCCTTCGGAATCCCAATTCTAAGCCCTCAATCTCAACTACCGGCTTCACTGCATGAACCTCCGCCTTATACTTGTCGGCATACCACTTATCCAGGTACTTTGGGTTTTCCACAAAGTCGGGATACACTTCCCGCATACGCCGCAGCACCGTCCCCGAGATCTGGTCTACGCTATTATGGTAGCGTAAAGCGAGTACTTCTGGACCCATGGTATCGCGAAGCTTCTGCTGTACGTGCTCCGGTAACAAGCCGACTTTGAACAGGAGTAGATCATAATGCAGTAAGCAAGCTTTGCCGTGCCAAGAGCCTCCGCGAGTTGCTCGATGATAAAGGCCGATGAGTGCTGTAATGGCGCCGATACAGCCAGTACCGTAGTCTGAGATGGGAAATGGGGGCACCATGGGTTCGTTGACACCCATGAACTTGCCTTGCTCCCACGCGATGCCCGTCACCTAAGGTTATTGTGTCAGTAAACTAATGATTGGGATATTAGTCAGATGGGGAAGAGGGAGGATCTTACGCAGTCTGAAATCTGCTGCCAACCAGGGCGAGAGGCCCACTCGCCCTCGTATCCAAAACAATTCTCATTCACGTAGACAAATCCTTTACGTCGCTTGATCGCCAATTCTGAAAGTTGCTTGGGACCGTATCCCAGTTTTGCAATTGCTCCAGGGCGGTATCCGTCAACCACAACGTCGGCATCGGCCAGGAGCTTCTCAAAAGCCTCTCTTCCCTCCGCAGACTTGAGATCCAAATCCGTGGCCCGCTTTCCCATGTTTCCGTCCACTTGGAAGAAGGGCACATCGCTGAGATAGGGAGCTGTTACTTTTATGACTTCTGCACCATATTCGCCCAGAATTCTAGTGATTGTAGGGCCAGCAATTATTCGACACAACTCCAGCACTTTGATGCCGGATAGAAGTCGGCTATCTTTCGTCGGGAGAGGTATTTGTGGTGTTTTATCTTCTAAACCCTCAACCGACCATGGCGAAAGCGAAATGTTTGTTTTGCCCTGTGAATCAGATGAGTATACGCCTCCCTAGCTATGATTCCACCCCTTCAAAATGCCGACTTACGTGCGGAGTTTTGAGAAATTCAGCATGTGTAAATGCTTTAATCCCAGCTTGTCTATTCTGCGCATTTAACTCCTCTAATTCATCGACGGTAAAATTCTTCACTGCAGATTCAATCGTTTGCACAATATCCTCATGTGTCGCCAAATCAGGCCGATGCGGTTCTAGTCCAACCATCTTCAGCGTCGTCGACGCTTCTAATGATCCATGGATATGGTAATACTCATTAGGGTTTTTGGTGGCATATAAATTGGCAGACATGCGGCGATACGGATCAGATTGTGCCTGCAGAAAATCCGTGTCTACATTCGGCGAGAGGTTAGCAAAGTGGGCAGTTGGCATAGATTTTGTTGCACACAAACCTTTTAACATGTTCTTGACCCCCTTATCAAGCTTTCCATATCCCCCGACTCTGGCCAAGTACGCTTGAAACAGGAAAGCTGTTGTCTTTTCAAGATCGACCACAATTTTTCTTTCAGGAGCCTGTCCCTCTTGCCGTGTATCTGCGAGAAGGGATGCAACCGATGCTTCAATTGCCTTGAGCGCTGCTGTTGTTTCTGTTTCCTTGAACGGGATAGGAAAATAAGGCTCATCTCGCTCCGCGACAAATTGGACATGATCTGATCGTCTCGCTACTCCAACAGGCAACGACATAGGATCAAATTGATTGCAGAGGTACTGCAGAATGGTAAGGGCCTCTTTCTTGGAAGAGTACGTATGTATTGACGTCCCGTTCATGATCGCGGAAAAGGGCCAGTACTGATGAAGCGCTGCTGAAACAAACGGTTGACAACGGATTTGTTTCTCGTAGTATCAATATATCGTTTTGAGGCGATTTTATAAGTCGTAAACGCCAATTTGGTGGTTCTGGTGGCGATGTGAAAATGCCCCTGCTGTCAACTCTGTGGTGGAGATGAAGTCGACGGAAACTCGCTGTCTAAATCCTGAGCTTAACCAAAGAACACAGATAACACAAATCCAGAGAAAATGATTACTTGGGAGATTCTCAGCTGAAAATTGACGGATCCACGATAATGACATTTGCCGCTCAATACGCCTAAATTCGTCTTTGCCATCTCGGGATCCCGTATCCGATTTCCCCAAACCCGGACTCCGACACTCAGCGGGGCCGCGCGCCCTTAACCGACACCGTCACATCTTCAAGACCATCTTACATCATTGCTCTCCCCTCATACTGAAGCCTTTCTGCACAACTATTCATTAACAAGGTCGGATATCCATCGGCGGAATCAAACAGCCCGAAAGATCTCAGTGTACCGCATCTATCCGCGTGAGTCCCATCCGCCTGTCTCTTAAGCAGGGGTAACGCCCATGCCCATCCCTCATGTATGCCAGATCAAGAGTTTGAGGCGCTCACTAGCTCTATTTACGCAGGACTATCTGATCGAGAAGGCTATTCGCTAAAAGACATCCCGAGCCATGCCGTTCCTCAAGCTACAAGACCGAGACCGGCAACTATACTATACCTTGAATGCGCCTCCCACTACAACCTCGTCGTCTGACGGTATAAAAAACATCGTCCTCATTCATGGCTTGGGTTCTTCGAGCTCTTATTATGCTCCGGTTATCCCGAAGCTTGTAGACGCAGGATACTCCTGCTTGGCACTGGATTCCCATGGTGCGCACATAACCTATAGATTCCTTCATGCCTTGCAACCTTTCTACTATGCGCTACTTCTAACCTGACTCAAAATGACAAAGGCGCCGCATTAACCCCATTGACTGGTCCGGGCGGTAGCCTCGATACCATCATCGATGATATTGGTGCCGCCTTGTCAGCTCTCAATATCTCAGCCCGTCGCACCGTTATAGTGGGCCATTCCATGGGAGGAATTGTTGCTCCTGAAGCCACTCTTCGCTACGACTTTGCTGGCACTGTACTTTTGGGCCCTGTTTACCCAAACGAGACCCTCACGAAAGCGCTCCAAGATAGGATTGCCAAAGTTCAACAAAGTGAGAACATGCCAGCCACTTGTCGCTATTTGAGGCGCCGAGAAACCATGTGATCCAGTATTAACTGGCTAATTTAGATGGAATGGATGCTTTGGTAGATGTCATTCCTAGAATTGGAACGGCATCTTCATCCACACCGCTGCAACGCGCCTTCATTCGCACTCTCCTGCTGGCTCAAACTCCGGAAGGCTATATTGCAAACTGCACAGCCATTGCATCTGCCTCGGTCCCAGATTATGCGAGCATCAGCACCCCTCTCTTGCTCGTCAACGGCGCTGAAGACTATGTTTGCCCGATTGAGCTCTCGCAAAAAGTATTTGACAGGTATGTAACCGCATTTCCTCCAAGTATATGGCAAATTGCTTACTCGTTGCAAAGCTGGGGCTCAAAAGATAAGGAACTCCAAATTCTCGATAAAACTGGCCACTGGTACTGCATTGAATCGCCTGAGGAAGTCGGGGATGCTATTGTTAGATTTTTGAGTGGCATCAAAACTGCGTAATCTCTTAAAGTAGATCACAAAGAATAGTATGTGTGTGTCCATATATATTTCATGCGTACATCAAAACAGAGTTTAGGACCTCGATCTAAATCTTCGACTTTGTCTGGCGACTATAAAGTGCTCTTAGATCCTTTCTCAGGATTTTACCGGTAGGACTTCTAGGAATTGCATCAATGAAGATTACGCCACCTCTTAGTCGCTTATGATCCGCGACTTTGTTTTGAACATAGTCAATAAGTTCGCTCTCAGACACCTTTCCTTTTGCCGTAGGCACAAGGGCAACGTATGCCGTGGGCACTTCTGTGTCTTCTCGATCTGTGCCAATCACTGCAGCGTCAGCAACAGATGGATGCGATGTCAGAACGCCCTCGAGCTCGGCTGGGGCAACTTGAAGCCCCTTGTATTTAATCAGTTCCTGTAACATAGCTAGTCAGAGTCTTGTTATGCGTCTCCGTGAGTTTGGAAGGTCAAGACTCACCTTCTTTCTGTCTACCATATATAGCATATCTCCTTCCATTTTGAGAATATCGCCGGTACGGAACCATCCGTCAGTGGTGAAGGATGAGTTATTGGCTTCGGGATTGTTGTGATACCCTTTGGTGACCATTGGGCCTTTTAGCAATGCCTCGCCCGGTTGTCCCGCCTCGACGTCTTTATCATTCTCGTCTACTAGCCTTGTGGACAGATGAGTTGTTAACTTTTTTTCGGATCAGCTTTGGTTAGATGTTTTGACCATACCTTAAGCTAACGTTTGGTAATAATGGACTCAAGCTCCCCATAGTATCCGTCCGCTCTGGTGAAGTATAAGTCACAGCACCAGTTGTTTCACTTAATCCCCAAACTTGATAAACGATGCCTTTGAGCTTCTTGCTGGCCGATTCTTGTATCTCATAGCTCATCGGCGCTGCCGCAGCCGTGGCATACTCAACGGTCTTGAATTGGTCCTTGACAGCTGGATGTTTTGCAATCGCCATGTATATAGGCGGTACAGAGAAAAAGAAAGTCAGTTTAAGTTCAGCAAAATATCGGACGAAATCATCAAAGTTGAAATTTTGCATCCAATATATGACGGCTCCTTCGTAGACACAATTGATGAAGTAACTTTGTAAGCCAGCGATGTGAGCTGGGGGCAAATGGCCGAGCGTGGACCTGGGGAAAGAAATGCCCCTTCTGGACCATGATTCGCGGCCAATAGTGCTGGGAAGATAGCATTCCGAAACCATGTTCATATGAGATATGATGACGCCTATAACAGTTAAACATGTTTTCACCATTGCGAGTATTCATCTATCTTACCTTTTGGTAGCCCAGTAGTACCTGATGAATACATGATGCATACCTTGCTCTCTTCAAGCTCTTTCGGATCAGTAATTCTTCTCCAATCCAGGGATCCTTTGAAGTCGCATGCCGCTGTGCCATCGGCGCTCACCAGCTGGATCTCTGGGTATGACTTCAACACGAGGACATTTTTAGCCGGTAGTCCAGTGTTGCGAGCAGCGCTCAAAGCATTATCTTTCACATCTTCGCTGCATACAACGATTCTACCGGAACCGTCTTTGATCTGCCTTGTTAAGTCTGACACCGTAGAGGAAGGCGACGCGGCTGAATAAATGCCATCTGCAGCAAGCACAGAATAAAATAAGCAACCTAGCGCAGATTGCCCAGTAGATATCGAGACAACCACGTCTTTTCCGGGCCCTTCTTTGCCAATGCCAAATTGATGACGAAGAAAGTAGGCAAATTGACGCGTTAAATCGCGAGCGCGTGCCTTGGTGATGACATGAGAGGGGAATTTGGCCTCAGCAAATATTGGCGCGTCTTCTTTTGCCTGGGATTCTTCGAATTCTGAGCAGAACGAGTGTCAGTTACGGAGTACTCAACCCGAGATGAGGGCCGTGGCGTTGAGAGGGGGTGGAGATGGCATCATGCGGAGTAACCATTGTTGGCATACCAAACAAGAGAGTAAGAAGATCCAGGTTTGGAACCTTCATCTGTCTTGGGTTTGAGTATATCATGATGAACGAGCCGGACAAAGTACATGCATATACGAATCAATCCGATCTAATTGTCTTCATACAAATGCTGATGTTGCAGGAGGGTGTGTCACGGTATACATGTATGTTGGACGCCGCAATTGTTTCCCTTCCTTCGCTCCATCTCCCCAGCCGCCACTGTCTCACGAAAGCAAGCCGAGGCCCATGCAGCTGAAAAGCACCGGCAAACTGATTTACGACACTTATCAAGGTATCCTCCTTTTTGTATTGTACACTAAATGCGGAGTGCCGCATGTGGTTGGTCAAGCGCAGGATCAACACCCTTGCCCCCCTCATTGTCTCTTCTGCAAGCTACGCCCAATTTGCTATTGGAATAGTAGTATGCAAAATAATCGAGGCTAAACGCATCTACAAGGGGGCATGTCTGGGGAATTTACCCCAGTGAAGCGGGGAGCGGACACTTCAAAAGCTGCCGGAGCCATAAGGCCACCTGGAGATGAGGAGGTGATATTTGCCTCGTATTCAGAGTTATTTCGTCTCCTTGTTTCACCGCCAACGATTAGAGACGAACGAATAGACGAGACAATCTTTGAACAAGTCTTCTCTCACGCGTAAATACGAACACTATCGCCACTAACATGAGTCTAACAAACCCCCTCTTCAGCCTCAATGCAGCCGGTGTTATCAATTGACGTGTCCAAGCCATCGTTCATTCGAGAAGCGCCGACCATCGAGGCTTTCGTCAGGCAAACCTGCCAGCTCAATACATGGATGCAAGATCGCTACATATTGCAATCTACGAAATTGGCATTTGAACTTCGCCGTCTTTTATACACTCTAGTCGGTAAGAACTTCATCTTGGGAGATCAAATCCGCTCTCAGCTAGTCTTGCGCTAGCTCTTATATAAAGTAAACTACTACCAGAATTCCCATCCGAACCTGCTACAATGACTCCAAAGTCATTAAATCTTCCGTAGTATAGTGGTCAGTATGCAAGCTTGTCACGCTTGAGACCCGGGTTCAATTCCCGGCGGGAGAGCGCCACCCTTTCAAAGGGTTCTTTTTTTTGTGTTTATTTCACCTTGCATCTTTTCGAGATGAATCGATTGTTTTTTTGTTTATCCTAATAATAGACCGTCTTATTTATGAAAACTATTTAATCGCTCTTGGGTATTTTGTGCTCTCTAAAAGAAACCTGTTCACCGATCAATCGCCAAATGAAAGAAAATAACTGCAGTCTTCAACCAACTCCAAGCATCAATTGTTATCGCACCATCTCTTTCTTAATGCCCTTTCCCACTCCTCAAAATTCTTCACCATGCCATCGTTCCAAAGAATTTCTCCAGTGTGTAAAAACTGATTCAACGGCGGAATCGTAAACCACTCGTGGTCACTGCGGCAAACAACATCGGGCTTGCGGTCTCCAGTCCTGTTCCCAGGCTGCTTGATGATTCCATTTAAGCACTTCTCACAATAAGCGTCCACGCAGAATTGGCACAGGTAGAAGTTCTCAGACATGGAAATGTTGTTCAGGCACTGGGCGCATGCTTTGTTGACTGACTGGATATCAGGCAGCTTCGGCTCGACCCTTGTGCGTACAGGAGAAGCCAGCGGCGTGGTCATTGCAGCAGCTCGGTTGACTTTCCTCATGGATCGAGCCAGTGCTTGCGCATTTTCGGCATCGTTGGCTGCGACAAAGATGTGCAGCAGGTTTTCTACTGCATATCGGTCGTTGCGTGGCTCATCGTCGAGCAAAATGTCAAGACTGTTGATGACCAGGCTTCCCAGCAACTCTCGGGCTTCCAGCTCTTTTTTGAGGAGACGATAGAACATTGCGAGGTATATGGATGCAATGTTGACATCGGAGCCGTATTTGTCTGCAGGAATATCCAAATTCTGATGCTTGCTTTGCTTTTCTTGGACCTGCTCTAATTTCTCCAGCCACTCCATGGCTTCAGGGGACGTGAGGTCTGTTTGAAGGATCTTTTGCTTATATAGAGCGGACAGCTTTTGGAAAGAGGTTGCATGTCCATGGCGCGTTGGAACGTTACCACGCGGTCTATATTCGATCAAAGATATCTGCTCAAAAATCGCAATCGACGCATCGAGATCACGATTGTACGCGCAGGTGTTCCCATATGCTAGACGCAGATAAAGCACAGCCATCTGGTTGCGCGTAGTGTGAGCAATCTCAATGGCAATCTCATACTGGTGCAATATGAATTCTACCTCCCCAGCCTTGCAAGCTGCTTTGGGAATCCATTCCATGGTAAGGGATTTATCGCAATTTTCCAGGAGTAGATTGGTTAGCAAGCTCGTCTCCTTCTCCTTGGTGGTGGTTTTCTTCGCCAGTTCTTGAAGCAGCCTCATCATTTCAGAGTGCAGATTCTCAGTTGCTAACATCTCCAGATAAGCAATTTCAGCCTCAAAGTGCTCGAAAGTGTTCAAACTTGCAGCTGGCGAGCTGTCAATTGCTTTGCGAAAGTACTCGAGTGCAGGCTCTCTTTTACCAGTCATGTAAGAGCAGCGTGCAATAAGCAGATAATCTTTATACAGTCGCCATTTGCAGCTAGTCAACTCATAGCCTTGCAATGCGCCATCTTGAATGCTTTTCTTTTCAATCTCGGCACACTTCAGAGCCTGAGCCAAAGCATCGTCGTACTGTCCATACTTGGACAGGCAGTAGGCAATGCGCCCTGCAGTTCCGACGCTGTTGTGATCCAATTCAAGGGCTTTGTTGTAATGAATCAGAGCATCGCTATAGAGTCCCAGCATCAGATACGTACTTCCGAGCCGTCTATGCCAATGCGCCGTTTCGGGATAATTGGCCCATTCGATGGCTTTCAACACCCGCTCCCTAATTGGTGTCCCGGACCAGCGACTCTGTGCTTGAGACCATGAGCGTTCTTCGCTCATGAATGCCACATTTTGGACAATCTTGAAACAAAAGAGTGTCGGGACATATTTGTAAAAGTCTGCACAAAGCCATTGCTTTGCATAGAATCG